TTTACCAGCTTATAAATACTGCACTTTTGCCAATGCAAAAGTGAACTTCTACCAAAGCTCGTCCAATTGTGGGCTTTAGGCAAGGAGCAGGGTTGTAAGTAATAGGAAACCTATTATTCTTAAATAACTCAGAAATTGACATGAATTGGCGGAGAATGCCCATACAGTCTTTGCAGCATAAGGACTACAATTATTATTATCGCCATTTATATAGCGCCAACAGATTCCATAGCGCTTTACAATATTATGAGGGGGATTTAACTATAAATAGGACAATTACAAGAAAACTTGCAGGAATGATAGGTTGAAGAGGGCTCTGCTCAAACAAGCTTACAGTCTATAGGAGGTGGGGTATAAAACACATTAGGACAGGAAATAGCAATCAAATAAGGTGAGAGTGAAGCAGAGCTGGAGGAGAGAGTAGAGTGCTGCCCTTTAGTAGAGAGCAAGAGATAGGTAGGTTACTCTGGGAGGCCATAGGCTTTCATGAAGAGATGGGTTTTAAGGCACTTCTTAAAGGATTGAAGACTAGGGGAGAAGCTGATGGCGGTTCCATATGAAGGGAGCCACCTGCGAGGAGTCCTGCAAGCATGAGTTGGCTCTATGGGTTCGAGCAGCGGACAGGAGGTGGTCACGGGCAGAGCAGAGAGACCAAGAAGGGGCATACCTATGGATCTGTGAAGAAATATAAAAGGGGCTAGAATTGTTCAATGCTTTACATGTATGGGTTAGCACTTTGTATTGACTCCTATAGGATACAAGAAGCCAATGTAAGGACTGAGAAGACCGACTAGAGAGGAAAATCAGTGTGGCAGCGGCATTCATTACAGACTATAGTGGGGCAATAGGGCGTTTGGGAAGACCAATCAGGAGAGGGTTACAATAATCCATGCAGGAAATTACTAGAGCATGGACAAGCTCCTTGGTAGCATCTTTTGTAAGAAAAGGGTGAATGCGGTCTATGTTTTTAAGTTGGAATCTACAGGATTTGGCAACATACTGGATGTGAGGCTCAAAGGTGAGGCCAGAATTAAGTATGACACCAAGACAGCATGCTTGCAAGGATGCTTATGTGGATACCACTAACTTGAATGGAGAGCGAGAGAGGAGGATCAGTATTAAGATGCACTATAATGGGTATGGAGCTTAAGATGCCCATTTAATACTTTTAAAGAAACATTTAGTTTTTTTCCCCCCGAACATTTTACATTTAAGTAGCTCTTTCACTTTTTGAAGGATGGAAACTTGTATGCATTGCAATTGCTGTCAATCCCAATAGTTATTTTACAGTGTAAAATCTGCAAAATTGTTCACAGATACTTCAAAGAAATCCACGCACACGTTGGCCATACTTTGAACAACAAAAAGTTTCCATATACCGATCATGCCAAACATACTCTGAATGACCCTATCATAGCAAAATTCTGAATAAATTATCTAAGCAAGATTTATATGTTAACTCAGGGGTTAGAACTGAATGTGCTCATTCGGCTCAGCACAATTCAATGTCTTATGAAAGAAAAAATATTTTTGGTATTCATAAATACCACACAGAATTGCTAGTGCAGATACTCTGCTTTGTACTGACTGTAGAATAGTACTGGTCACTAATCAGTGTTAATCTCTTCTAAAAACAGTTACAATGTACGTTTTACGGTGGCATGTACCAAAAATAAAAAGTATTATGCTGTATTCCAATTAGTTAACCTTACCAGCGAATACAAAAAAAAATAAGTAACAAGAGAGTGCTGAGAATGGACAAACAGCTCAAGTAGCCTGCCCTTCGGTGAGTCCCCGCTCAGATCTCAAGCTGGTTTTAGCTCATCTTGTGCCATTACAGAGAGAACTAGGCCATGCATCTCAGACTGATTCCACCCAAAATGGCAGAACAGATGTTCAAACAGCTACTAGATTGGGGCTATATCTACTAAACTGTGGGGGTGTTTTTGAAGGTGAAGTGTTCCTTTAAATTTAAAATTTACACTTTAATAAACTATTCATTTGGCATTTTTTATGGGGAGGTAGATAGTTGTAATTCCAGCTTGCTCATCTCACAGAACAATGAGAACCACTGCTGGTATTCTTTCAGTATAGTTAAATTCCTCCAATTCTTTTATTTATTTTTTTAAACACAGATTTAGGAACTAAATAAAATAACTACAGCTCATTGGGAAGCAGAAACCTGAGATAACACAAATGCTTATGACACCAACAGAGAGAAAGTTTGTGCTGGACAAGTTTGTTTTATCCAATGTTCCTGTAACCCCTTAGCAATGTTAGGATCTGTCATTACAACCTAACTACAATGGGCTTTAATGCACTTCAGACATAATGACACATCCTGCATCTCTGGTGCTCACACCAGGGAGTCTCATGTATCAATTGTTACCTGGGGCTCCCTTTTGTATCCTATGACCATTTTATACTTTTTAGTGGCCCTGGATATTTACATAAGCTGTTTGCAGCATTGGAAGTTAGCTGTTGAAATAGACATTTAAATGCCAAGTGATCATGGAGTGAGCAGTGGTAAAAAAAAAAAAAAAAAAACTCTGCTCACATCTCTAACCTGTAAATGGATACCTGGAGACTCCTGTAAGTCAGCTGGGGACATTTAGTGACCACAGACTAACGAGCCCTTTAACTCATTCATAAAAATCACGATCAAGCTCAGCCATGGTTTGCTTGAGCTGCAGGCAGCTTTGGTGAGACGCTTCAGGGTCTGAATAAACCCTGGGAGGGTTTCACATCCTATTGGACCGGAGCAGAGCATTGCCAGCTGCCTAGCACTGATCTCAGTATAATTGGCTGGAACCAGGGCTCTATTCAGAATTGCACAAAGTAGGATTCTGAAAACAGACAGACGGTGGCAGTCAACATACCACCATTTGTGTTAAACAGAATTGATATTAGCAGGGGGGGTTACCTTTAAGAGCAGACCTGCACAACCTGCAGTGCCCCCAGATGTTTTGAACTACAACTCCCACGATCCCCTGGATAGAATGCCTGGTATCTGTTTCAATAAAAAATAAAATTAAAAACAGGTAATTCCAGTTTAATTAACGAATCATGGGCGCTGGCCATTTTATTCAAAGAATCATGAAGGTTGTAGCTCAAAAACTTTGGGGAGACCGCAGGTTGTGCAGGCCTGTTTAAGAATACGGTACGGTTACAGTTCGTGCGATGAAGTTATGGTGTCCATATATGTCCTTTAAAGGCACACTATAGGCACTTAGAACTGCAACCTGTGATGCTGAAGTGGTCCAACACTAGAGGGACTTTCGAATCGGTTACTTTTGGTCGCCTGACACCCTCACGCTATGCATGAGGACATTCAGCGTCACCCAAAACTCCATAGGAAAGCATTATACAATGGTCCTAATGTGAGTGTAGGGATTGTCCTCCCCACTGGCAGAGGGTGTTCCAGGCACTATAGAATGCCTATAACTAGCTTCTCCTTAGGGGCTTCTGGAGTATCAAAACATCCTACAACTACAATGCCACAAGAATCTATTAAAAAAAAAAAAAAAAGTGTATCAACAAAAATGACTTCATGTATTAAAACAGTGGCCAATCGCCTAATCAATTAACTAGAAAGCAACTCAACCTAAATAAAAAGTTTACAAGAAAAAAAAAAAAAAACCAATAAGTATCCCATTGCTAAAAATCAGAGCCGTCTATAATATGAATAGGACCCCGGGCAAAGCCTTTTCTTGGGCCCCCTGGGCCCTGTCACTGCACCCTCCCTCCCCATTATGCCCAACCCGCAATCACACTGACAGACATACTGACACACACACACACACACACAGACACATTAAAACATTCGCAGATACATACTGACACAAAAATATATACTGGCAAACATTGACACACATTCAGACATACTGATACACACAGACACATACACTGACAGATATATTGACACAGACACACAGACACATACACTGACAGGCGTATTGACATACACAGACATACTGACATACATACACACACACACTGGAACACAGTGAGACATACTGACATGCAAACACACAGTCTGTGTGTGTGTCAGTATGTCTGTGTGTGTGTGTCAGTATGTCTGTGTGTATGTGTATGTCAGTATGTCTGTGTGTGTATGTGTATGTCAGTATGTCTGTCAGACACACACAGACATACTGACATACATACTGACACAGACATACTAACACACTAACACAAACACATTTAGCCACCCTCCAGGTTCTTACCTTTTTATGGAGGGTCCAGTGGCAGGCTGAGGCAGATGGGAGTTCTTCTCTGGAACTCCCCTCCTCCCTGCCTTCCTCCTCCCGCGCGGCTATCTCCGGTGGGAGGAAGTGACACGCGGTACTCACTTCCTCCCAGCCGGTACAGGAAGGGGCCCGGTCGCGCTGTTTAAGCGTCACAGCGCCCGACCGGGCCCCTTCTGCCACATGCCCACAGGGTGGCCCTTAGTGCATGGGCCACCCGGGGGCCTCCTTAGTTGGCGGGCCAGTGCGGCTGCACCGCCGGGTACATGGGGGCTGCTGAAATCGCGGGGCCCACGGGGCAGCTGCTCTGGGCCCCCCCCAGGAGCAACTGGGCCCGGGGCAGCTGCCCCGTTTGCCCCGCGCTAAAGACGGCCCTGCTAAAAATAAGCTTAATCAAAAAAAAAAAAAAAAATAACCAACTTGCACTGCTGTAATTCTCACATGTGTATTGCTAGAATTTTTCAGATACCTAGTGACGTACAAATACCATAGGGAATTGTGGAGAAATGACAATGGTGTTTAAAATTTTAGGCCAAAATAGCTCAATGAAAAAAAATAAATTATACTAGCTATAGTCACATCAAAGTTGAGCACAATCACTAGTAAAAGTCAATCACCCACTCGATTTGCAAATATGTGCACATATGCTGTAATATATTGGTGGGCTTCTTGGCTGTGCAGTTTCAACTTCTGCCCTTGTTCTCTGTTAACACATGACTATTCTACAAACCGATGGAAGACAAAGGATTCACCACTCTTGTAATATCCCTTTAATTTACATTGGCTTCAACAATATAACAGATAAATATTATATAAAAAAATGGGGATATGATGCATATTGTTATATTGCTTCCAAGGAAATACAAACAAAAAATCCCGCACACAAAAACTAATTTGAAATGAAAGTCCCATGATTTGTTGCAGTTGAATAAAGTCCATAAAGGAAATGCCCCTTATATAGTAGGAATTAAGCATGTTACATGGCATCGTAGTCTTCATCATCTTCATGTTTCCGCTTTAATGAGTTGGACTCGTTGTTTGCACTTTGTGAAGACACCAGGTTTGTTGTAATAAGAATGTTTTTGGAACCAATTAATGAAGGATTGATTAGGACATTCTGAACTGTAGGTGTAGTAGTAGGGACTAAAAAATAAATAAATAAAAAACAAGAAACATGTTAATAGAAAAATTCCAGGTAGTGTGACCTGTTAAAATATTGCTAAAGCCTACATGTTTACAGTTAAAATTATTTATATAACAAATTCAAACCTTATGTTCAGGGAGTTTATGCTAATCATAAAAAAAAAAAAATATTTGAGTATATTTACATATATGATATGTTTTAGGTGCATTTGAAATTTTATTTAATATAGGACATTTATAATGTCATATTATATACTAGATGTACACATTATTACAGCAGCAATACCCCAATTCTTTACTAAGGGCACATCAATCTCTTTAAAATGTGCCACAAACACTAGATATTTCCTACTTTGAACAAGAAGATCACTGCCAAATATATTTTGTGTACTATTGCTATATTGCTCATCCATATAGGATTTCAGAATGTGGAATTCCCTGCCTGAAGAAGTGGTTTTATCAGAGTCCATACAGATGTTCAAACTGCTACTAGATGCATACTTGCAAGAACAGAATATTCAAGGATATAATCTTTCAATGTAGGATAATAACTGCTTGATCCAAGGATAAATCTGACTGCCATTCTGGAGTCAAGAAGGATTTTTTTTCCTAGCTTGTTGCAAAATTGTGCTTCAAACTTGGGTGTTTTTTTGCCTTCTGTTGGATCAACAGCAAAAAACAAATGTGAGGAAGGCTGAACTTGATGGACGCAAGTCTCTTTTCAACTATGTAACTAGGTAACTTGAACAGTTACTACAATGATCTGCAATGCTGAATTAAAATTGCAGTCTGATTCACATATGCAAAGAATACAATAATAAAATTAAAATAATGACCTGTTTTGACAGTTGTCTGTGAGGTTGGTATTTGAACAGTGAATCGCTGACCAGTCAGTGATACTGGAGTTCCAACTTTGGAAACTGACACAGTTTGTGCAGACGGGGTACCTAAGTGGAGGAAAAAAAAAAAAAAAAACACAATCAAGACTAATTGCAATCTGTACATTAGTACTTTGCTAAACAACTGAAAAACACAGTGATATACTAGTAAGCCAAAGCACACGGACATGCCCAAATATAGTGCCGCTTTAAAACACAAAAGACTTTGCATTAAAGTCAAGATTTTATTCTCTGCACTCCATAGCTAAGAACTTACAAAATATCTAGTGCACGTATACCAAACTCCAGGAGTTTTAGGCCATCAAAAGCTAGGAGCAAAGTTTGAGAGAACAGACACACAAGGTGTTTTGCTTTACCTAATCCTGGGGTGCTTGGTCTGCTGGTGACGGCTCCCACACTTAGTCTTGGCACGGTTATTCTACCAGCTGAAGATGGGATCTGAAGAATATATACCACAAACCATATTTCAAGGATTGTGCTAGAATTTCAAATTATAAAGATGCACACTTTACAGATATTAAGGCACAAATTAGACTGATTTGCATAAGTGTTCAACAACCTTGTACATTTTCAGAAGGTACTGTACCTCAAGCATAGGTTATAAAACAACTTAATTATGTGGGTTTCATGCAAACGTTAGGATCTTTAACCCCTTAAGACCGCAGCCAAATGTACAAGTTGTGATCAAACCAAAATGTAAACAAAACCTGGCATCTGCGCTATATATGTCTGTCCAACCGTAATTCACCTCTTTCATATTAAATGCACCCACATATATAATTTTATTCAGGGGAACAGGGCTTTTATTTACCATCAAATATTTAGGTATGGAACATAATTTAATATGAATAAAATATTTTTAAAGAGGGAGGAAAAAAAAAACTAAATTTTTCTCAGCATAAATTCATCTTTCCTTAATATGGTGGCAGTACAATAGGGATGTACTCTTCCCTCGGGACAAGCATCTGAAATAAAGAACATAAAAAGTACCTCCCCTTACCAGGTATAAGAGAACACACACACACACACACACACCTCTATCTCAACAAGAAGGAAGGCTGCTCTTCGGACTTTAAAACAAAAAGTTTATTCAAATAATATTAAAAAATTACGACAAACGTTTCAGTCCCCATTCGGGACCTTCCTCAGGGTCAAAAATAGGACAACAAGGTCCTATTTTTGACCCTGAGGAAGGTCCCGAACGGGAACCGAAACGTTGGTCGTAATTTTTTTAATATTATTTGAATAAACTTTTTGTTTTAAAGTCCGAAGAGCAGCCTTCCTTCTTGTTGGTTTTTACATATCTTGGAGCTCTGGTGGTGCGCCCGGCATTGGACTATTTTGTAAGCGTGAGTGCAGGGGATACATATACATACATACATACACACACAAAAAGGGAGGGAGTGATGTACTGCCACCATATTAAGGAAAAAGTAAATTACAGTTTTTCCTGACATATGGTGGCAGTACAATAGGGATATATCGAGATCCCATACTAAGGGCGGGAATTTAGGCAATAACAGCTTGTAACACCTTGTGCCCAAAATCAGCGTCAGAGGCAGAAAATACGTCTAGCCTGTAATGCTTGACAAAAGTGTTGAAAGAAGACCAGGTAGACGCCCAAGAGGCAGCCATGGCTCTAGTAGAATGTGCTTTTAAGGAGGCAGGCAGAGGTAGATTTGAGGAAGAATAAGCCAATTTAATAGTATCCACCAGCCATCTAGTTAAAGTGGCCTTGGAGGCAACTTGGCCTTTAAATTTTCCAAAGAAATTCACAAATAGATGATCAGTCATCCTATACGTAGAGGAGCGGTCCAAGTAGACCTACCCACATCTAGTGGTCTCCAATCAAATTTCCAATCTGGCATAGATGGACCATTAAATGAAGTTAGAAAAATAGGTTGGTTGATAACCTTGGAGGAGATGACTTTTGGAAGAAAGGAAGGCTTAGGGTACATAACCTCTTTATTTGGGAGAAATTTTGTAGAGTCAGGAGAGGAAGAAAGGGCCTGGAGTTCCCCTATCCTCTTAGCCGAAGTAATGGCCACCAAAAAACAGTTTTCAGGGACAGATTCTTCAATGAAGCTTCTTCCAAAGGTTTGAAAGGCTCAGTACACAGATTTCAAAACTAAAGACAAATCCCAAGAGAGAAAACAGATTTTCTTAGGAGGCTTTACGAGTCGAACAGCTTTAAAAAAAAAAAAAAATCTAATGAGAGGATCAGAAGCCCAATTTTTTACCAAAAAAATGACAGTGGAAACTTGGATTTTGAGGGTAGACAGACTAAAACCTTGAGCAAGACCATCTTGCAAAAAATGAAGGATAGCATCAGTAGAATGCGAGGATCCTATGCAACGATGAGATATGCACCAGTGAAGAAATCTCGTCCAAATTTTTAAGTAAATAGAAGAGGTAAAGCTTCTGGTAGAATTTAACAGTTACATAGTTACATAGCTGAAAAGAGCCTTGCATCCATCAAGTTCAGCCTACCTCACATTTGTTTTTTGCTGTTGATCCAAAAGAAGGCAAAAAACCCCAGTTTGAAGCACAATTTTGCAACAAGCTAGGAAAAAAATTCCTTCTTGACCCCAGAATGGCAGTCAGATTTATCCTTGGATCAAGCAGTTATCCTACATTGAAAGATTATATCCTTGAATATTCTGTTCTTGCAAGTATGCGTCTAGTAGCCGTTTGAACATCTGTATGGACTCTGATAAAACCACTTCTTCAGGCAGAGAATTCCCCATCCTGATTTTTTTTTTTTTTTTTTTACTGTAAGAACAAACTTCCTTTGCCTTAAGACGAAATTTTCTTTCTTCCAGTGTAAACGCATGGCCTCGTGTCCTATGTAAAGTCCGGTTTGTGAATAGATTTCCACACAATGGTTTGTATTGTTGTATAATGTTATATCCCCTCTCAGGCGACGTTTTTCTAAATTAAATAGGTTTAAATTTGTTAACCTTTCTTCATAGCCGATATGTTCCATTCCTTTTATTAATTTTGTAGCCCGCCTCTGCACTTTTTCTAGTGCCATAATATCCTTCTTCAGAACAGGTTCCCAAAATTGCACAGCATATTCAATATGGGGTCTTACCAGTGATTTATAAAGAGGAAAAATGATATTCTTGTCTCGAGAATGAATGCCCTTTTTCATGCATGACAATACCTTACTGGCCTTGGCCACTGCTGATTGACATTGCACATTGTTGCATAGTTTGTTGTCTAACTATTCCCAAGTCCTTTTCGCGTGTTATCCCTAATTCACTTCCATTAAGGGTATACGTTGCATGTGTATTCAATACGCCGAAGTGCATAACTTTGCATTTTTCAACATTAAATTTAATCTGCCATTTGAGTGCCCAATCCCCCAGTCTATCTAAATCCCTCTGCAGCAAACTAATATCTTGCTCACGTTGTATTGTTTTACAAAGGTTTGTGTCATCTGCAAACACTGAAACATGACTTTCAATGCGGTCTTCAAGATCATTTATAAACATGTTAAATAGAAGGGGTCCCAGAACAGACCCCTGAGGGACACCACTTGCCACCTCTTGCCACCTCTGTCTAGCTTGAAAATTTACCATTAATGACAACTCTTTGTACTCTGTTTTTAAGCCAATGTTCTACCCAAGAACAAGCATTTTCATCTAGACCGATTTCCTTGAGTTTGAACACTAATCTATTGTGTGGAACTGTATCAAATGCCTTGGCAAAATCCAAATAGATCACATCCACGGCAACACCCTGATCTATACTTCTACTTACTTCTTCGTAGAACGCAATCAGGTTAGTTTGACATGACCTGTGCTTCATAAAACCGTGCTGATTTTTGCTGATAACCATGTTCTTAAGGAATTCTTGAATATTATCCCTTAATAACCTTTCAAATATTTTCCCAGCCACAGAAGTTAAAGGACCACTATAGTGCCAGGAAAACACTCGTTTTCCTGGCACTATAGTGCCCTGAGGGTGCCCCCACCCTCAGGGACCCCCTCCCGCCGGGCTCTGGAGAGAGGAAGGGGTTAAACACTTACCTTTCTCCAGCGCCGGGCGGGGAGCTGTACTCCTCCTCTCCTCCTTGCTCGCGACGTCATCGACTGAATGCGCATGCGCGGCAGGAGCCGCGCGCATTCAGCCGGTCGCATAGGAAAGCATTTACAATACTTTCCTATGGACGCTGGCGTGCTCTCACTGTGATTTTCACAGTGAGAATCACGCAAGCGCCTCTAGCGGCTGTCAATGAGACAGCCACTAGAGGCTGGATTAACCCTCAGTATAAACATAGCAGTTTCTCTGATGTTTATTTAAAAAAAAAAAAAAAAAAGGTTAATCCTAGAGGTACCTGGCACCCAGACCACTTCATTAAGCTGAAGTGGTCTGGGTGCCTAGAGTGGTCCTTTAAGCTCACAGGTCTATAATTTCCAGGCAAGGATTTTGAACCCTTTTTGAATATAGGAACCACAGTAACTGAAACCTCTCTTCTTTATTGCCCCTATTATGCAGAATTAGCCGTGCAGCAGCCAAGCCGTTAACCTGAACATGTTCAATACTTCTACTAGAATTCCCTTGTTTTCCAGAAGATCTGGTGTTACCGGGAGAATCCAGAACTTTAAAGCCATCTTTAAAACCGAGAACCAGCTGTGGTTTGGCCAGTACGGTATTATGGCCAGAATACGAGATTGATCTGATGTTACCTTTTGCAGAATCCTTGGGACAAGGCTCACTGGAGGAAAAATGTAAGCAAGGGGAAACTCCCACCGGATCGAAAAACCATCCATTACCAGCGGGCTTGTCTACCTTGAAAAGGGAGGCAAACGATCTTACTTTTGCATTTGATCTTCTTGCCATAAGGTCTATGACTGGCAGACCGAATCTCTTCACCAGATGAGCGAAAATGTCTGAATTGAGAGACCACTCGTTCTGTGACCATTTTGATCTGCTTAAATCGTCCGCCACCATGTTGTCTACTCGAATATGAATGGCGTCTAGATGACTGAGCCCAGGACATAATCCGTGAGAAAAGGAAATACAATTTTTTTTTTTTTTACTCTTGTACCGCCTTGTTTGTTTAGGTAGGAGACTGTAGTTTGATTGTCCGACTGGATCTTTACAGCTTTTCCTATAATGAAATCCTTGAACTGTCGAAGAGCATAGAGAACTGCCAACAACTCCTTGAAATTTGAAGATTCCTTTTTCGACCAAACACTTTGTCTTAAGTGATACAGGAGGTGAGCTCCCCAACCTGTATTTGAAGAGTCTGTAGAAATCACGATCCAAGATTTTTGACGAAAAGACAGGCCTTCTGTAATGAATTTTTCCTCGAGCCACCAAGAGAACTTTTCTTTTGTATGATCTGATATACTCATTAATGCATCCAAGTCTTCTTCCTTCTTTGACCATTGGACAAGAATTTCCCACTGTAAGTGCCTTGATTCTGCTCTGGCCCATTTTACTGCCCATATTGTAGAGGTCAGATGACCTAAAACTTGCATGGCTTTCCTCACCGAACATTCTGACATCCGAAGGTGGTTCTTTTATATCCAAGATTGGACGAAAAGACATGTCTGGTTCTGGGACTAGGAACAACTGGGAGTATACCCCTTGATATACTTGGGAAGTTGGAATCCTTTCTACCACACCTTTTCTTAATAAAGAGACCGTGGCAGAAAAAAGGGCTTGGTTTTTTAACTTCGACCGGTAGGAGGAGACAAGGAAACTTGGTCTTGGAACATCTAAGAATTTTATTCGGTATCCATTTTGCACCAGATTCATTGTAGTGGTCTCCCTCCATCTGTGGACAAAACCTTGCAACCTTCCACCCACTCTGATGTCGTCAGAAACGTTTGTTTCTGTCAGACTTGGGGTCTTTTTGTGTGTCAAATCTTTTTGTTGACGAAAAAAAAACCTGGGTTTTTCTTGAAAACACCTACGGTTTTTGAACTGGAAATTTCTATACCTGGGTTTCCAGGCATATTTCCTGTCTTGAGGCAGGGCCTTCTAAACTCTTCTAAAGGAGAACCAAAACAACCTTTTCTTCTCCAAAGGCAGTTCACATAATGCAGATTTTGATGCAGTGTCTGCTGTCCAGGCTTTAAGCCACAGTGCCCTTCAGGCCACAGATGTGAAACCCATGACACAAGCCGAAAGCTTTATCACCTCCGTGACAATATCCATAAGGTACTCATTAGACAACCTTAAATTCTGGAACAGGAGGGAAAGACCTTTGTCTTGGTTATCACCCAGACCATCTTCCAAAGTGTTAAGCCAAAGATTTTGAGCTCTCACCACTGAAGCCCCGGCTAATGCTGCTTTAGCCTGAAAACCTGCAGCCTGATATGCCCTTCTGCTGGAAGTTTTCAGCCCTCTTATCAATAGGGTCTTTCAGACCAGAAACTTCACCAATAGGTATGGTAGTTTTTGTTTTGTTTTTTTTGTTTTTTTTAGACAATTGAGCCACTTGTACATCAACCACCGGCAATTCTTCCCATTTATCTTCCTCCTCTATTTTAACAATAATTTTAAAATGTCTGGGGACAAAAGCCCTTTTCTCAGGGTTCTTCCATTCTCTGAATATTAAATCCAGCATTTTTTGCCCTTGGATTTATCTACCGTTTCATCAGAAAGGATAACATTAAGCTCTAATAAATTTTCTCAACTCATCATGAGGAAAACCAACCTCAGTAACAGAAGAGTAGAGAATTCTGAATAAGAAAAACATTCACCCGAGGATAGTTCTGAACTAGACGGAGTTCTCTTCCTTTTAGACTTCTGTTTAGTAGCTTTTACAGGAGAAGTGTGAGCAGGCTCTTTAAAAGACTCAAAAGTCTGGGCCAGATTATCCTGAAACCAAGACAAAAAGGATTTCATCTCTTGATGCTTGGATTTTTCTAGCGTCAAGGAAGAGCAAACATTACAGACTTTCCTTTTAAAACCATCTGGTAAAAGAGTAGAGCATTCACTACAACAGAGATGTTTAGCTTTGGAACTGGCTTTTTAGAAGCAGGTGTAGGCACTTTGTCTTTATCCATATTATCAGTAGAGACAGGACTAGACATATCTAATACATAAGCTAATAAATCTTTTTGTAGAAAAAAAAAAAAAAAAAGTTTTAAAGATGAGAGTCTAAATAATCATACCTCTAAAACATCTGACCCCCTGTGGGGGGGCTGGTGGCACAGGAGACCTTTATTGCCAAGCATCCATGCTGACAGGAAGATCTGCACAGCATAAATAGGAGAACCAAAACAACCTTTTCTTCTCCAAAGGCAGTTCACATAATGCAGATTTTGATGCAGTGTCTGCAGATCCGCTTTAAATTTAGCGCAATTTCGAGGAGTTTAGAACGCGCATGCGCAATAGCGCAGTCGGAACTCTGGTAGAACGCAAAACCACCTGGGTGTGCGTTCCACCGCCGTTCACAAGCGTCTCCAACAGGCAGTTATTTGCTGCCACTAGAGACCGCCTTCCCTGCCTTGCCGGTGACTGCACTCGGCATAAAAGCAGACTTACATACCTGCTCCGGAATCTGCAGGATGTTTGCTGGCCATTCAGCTCTCCACCCGGCAGACTATCAGACCGGATCCCCCTGGCAGCAACCCATGTGCCTCACCATCCACATTCCAGATGCAGTCTGTTCCTGTTGGAACAAGAAAGAACTGAGGTCCCTGGGCTGGTTGGGTCTCTTATACCTGGTAAGGGGAGGTGCTTTTTATGGTATTTATTGATTTCAGATGCTTGTCCAGAAAGAAGAGTACATCCCTATTGTTATGCCACCATATATCAGGAAATAAGATTTTTTTTTTTTTTTTTTCTTCTTAGTTCTACGTGGCATTTTAACTGTGAATGTCAAAATACTGTTTGCTTTTACTGCAATAAAATACACATTTGTATTCAGCGATGTCTCATGTGTAAAACAGTACCCCCTATGTACAGGTTTTATAGTGTTTTGGAAAGTTACAGAGTCAAATATAGCATGTTACATTTTTCATTTTTTTTCACATTGAAATTGGTCAGATTGGTTACATTGCCTTTGAAACCATATGGTAGCCCAGGAATAAGAATTACCCCCATGATGGCATACCATTTGAAAAAGTAGACAACCCAATGTATTGCAAATGGGGTATGTCCTCTCGTTTTTTTTTTGTTTTGTTTTTTAGTAGCCACAAACACTGGCCAAAATTAGTGTTAAAATTTGAAAATACAGTTAGAACGAAATTACACATGTATAATTATTTTTTTTAATTTTATAACGTATTTACATATTTATTTTTATATATATATATATATATATATATATATATATATATATATATATATATATATATATTTTTTTTTTCTCTCCTAAGTAATTATATAATTTTACACGGTTTTTAACAATTATTTATTTTTCAGACAGCAGGCAATCATTACAGGCACTCCCCCTGCTGGCTATGCCATCCATGTGATCGCGAGGTCCTCGCAATCACATGGCCCAGAGGGGCCAAGAGGACGGAGGGGGACTCCCTGGTAAGTCCCCATACCGCGATCGCCGGATTGGGTAAGTACATAAGATCGCAGGGCGTTCTATGCCGCCCTGCGGCATTTAGAGCAATCAAAATAGGGACAGCATAAAACGCCCTGCGGTCTTAAGGGGTTAAAATAGGGCTTGACAAATATATAAGGCAGGTTAGATTTAAATTAGATAGATCAACCAATGCTGCCAAATTATTCTAGTAAATATCTGCAGTTATTAAATATATCTAGCTCCTAGGTTTGTCTAGAAATAGACAACTGTCCCTGGGCTCTTTTCATGTTAAGTAGCTTCACTTACCTTCTTCTGAATTGTTTTAAGCCGATAGTTTGGTGCAGTCAAGCAATATCTGTCTGGAGGTAGCCTGGGTCCAGCATAAGGTTTGATTAAAGGTAGAGGGGTTTGGTTCTTTTGTCTTGCAATTTCTAGTAAAAACTAATATGAAAAATGATAATACAATTCATAAGGAAGTATTTAAGGAGTGAGAATGCATGGATAATGATGAATGTTTATTTTATATATTTAAAAACTAAGGATTTGAGCATGCCAAACAGCATATTAAATGAGGCAGAAACACAAAAATACATTAAGCTTGTATTGCTGCACGAAGTGTCCTGTTAACCATAGCTTTATTACAATGATAAACTCACATCTCTTGGAGGAGGAGTTGTAAATGATTGGTCTGTCCTGCATTGTATGGCGAGGCGTACATCATCTGCATCAATGTTGTTCTTCTTTGCATGACTAGAATAAATCTTTGCATCTTCAAGTATTGTTGTTACATATCCTACAAAAGAAAAAAAGATATATAAATCAATTTATTTGCTATGGCTCTGCAATATCAGACAGACATACAAAGTAAAAAAAAAAAATTGAAATGTTCTCTCCCCCCCCCCCATTCCAATATTTACAAAGTAAAAATAAAAAAAATTAAAATGTTCTTTCCTCTCCCCCCTCCCATTCCAATATAAAAAATTCCACTTTAAGGAACATTTTATTCCAGAACAATTTTTAAAGACGAAGTCTCTAAACTCCAAACATGTTGCCGATACTTTCACCAATTAATCTGTGGGAGACTTGGGAAATCAATGACCACTTTTTATTATTCTTCAAACAAATTAAGATTAACAAAGCAATGGTTCAAGGAATCTGTCAGGTTTTCACTTACGGTATGTGAATTCCAGCATCTGGTTAATTACTCTAGGTTCATATTCTGTAATCCCCATGTCCTTTAGGATCTGAGCCATTACCTGTAGAAGAGGGAAAAAAAAAAATTAAAAAAAATTTAATTTGCAGGTTTCAGATGACAACTCCTACTTAAAAGTCACTGCATGATTTATAAGATGTATTTTAGGGCTTGTGCTTTCTACTGAATCTTAAGCTATACACCTATTTAACCTCTTAAGGACCAAACTTCTGGAATAAAAGGGAATCATGACATGTCACACATGTCATGTGTCCTTAAGGGGCTAAGAGTAGTTTTGTACATGATAGAAGTCACATGCACAGTTCCTTGTAGTGGTCATGGTGCTTAGAGTCTGTATATGCAATGCTTTGTGATGAAATCCTGCACATACAATGTTTAACCCCTCTGATGCCCAATGTGTAACTACCTCCAGTAGTTTAGAAATTATAAATACGTACAGATGTCATATAGAAAGAAACAAGATAACTGTATGCATCATGCACAACTCAGCTGTGTATTTCCCTTACATGAGCACTCCACTGCCAATTAAAAAAAAATAAATAAAAAAATGCAATTTTGTAGACATGCATTCAATTAAGACATTCACACCTTTAATTAAGCATTTCATTTTCTTTGGAGTATATATAAACAGCTTACCGAAGATCTATTTACAGCGACCTCTGCTAGCCCTCTACTTCCCCAGGCCAGACATGGGTGCTCTGGGCAATTGTTTCTTGAGTAAGCTCAACTGAGCTAAACAAACAAGGAAGTTAAAGAAACACTCCAGGCTCAGGGCCCCGATCGCAAGGCCCCCAGACGGCTTCTGAAATTTTAGTTTCAGAAAGCATACAACGCTGCTAGGCATGGGAACACTGATTAGATAAAGAGCGATCAGCTGATGCTTCCAGCCAGTCAATGATTTCTCATTCTCAAAACTTGCTTGAAACTCAAATTTCAGAACACTGTTTCAGTCTGGGTGCTGTTGAGATTGGCACTTTTTGGGGTAACCTGTTGAGGTAACCCTGTGGCAACTTTGCACCAAAACAACGTAATTTAGAGTAAGTTGTTATGTTGCCTAAACTGTCCCTTTAAAGAACCAGCTGCCTGACAGTAACAAGGTTCATTGATAAAAGTGCCACTTTCTATTGATCTGCACTTTTTATAAAATGATAAAGAGGACACACAAAGCAATGTGCCAAACTAAACTGCTTCAGGTGTTTGGAAAATTCCTTTACAAAAAGGGCCACTCCGGGTAGGCACTAAAACCTGTTTTAAAAAAAATAAAAAAAAATAAAAAAAATCACATGTTGGGGTAAACCCAGGGATTAGTTAATCAGTTTGTGCATGTGCAATGCTCCAGGTGACTCCATGCAGGGGCCATTTGTCTATTAGCCCAAAACACAACACTACCCCCCCCCCCACACCTGATCTACATCAGAGCTAGTGCTCCAGCTGCTGGACTACAATTCCCACGATCCCTACCCTTGCACCTGGCTCAGCACACCTAGTCTGAGTATTATTGGGGACTGATTAACTTACAGGACGTGGCTGGCTATACACAGGCATGCTGGCTGTTATGTATTAGGACTCCCATTTACCTGTGTGAGCATCAGGGGAGCCTTGATACACAATAACAGAGCTGCTGCATGGAATATGGCAATAACAGCCATCCCCTGCCTGGAAGAACATCATGGAGAGCCCAATATAATGGCTATCACTCACAAAAACACGACATACATAATAAAAGCACGGTACTGTACCTGTGCATCCTTTGGCGCACTCTTAGGAGACGCCATCTTAGCCTGCTCCATCGCATCCACCCATCCAGTGCCACTTCCGGCGCCAGAATTGAGCCTCCAAAACAAAGGAAGTAAGCTAACCGGCATCTTCCGTCCGGAGGAATCCGCCATCTTGGGTGAGGCACGTTCACGCAGAGCCTCGCTTCACTCTTTTAGTAGTTTCCGTTGCGCACGTCACTGACGTCACCTGAATGCTTCCCAGGAAGCAATCTCTGTAATGTCAATCATGGACATATATCATCCATAGACGGCGCATTGACCTCTGGGAGAGCGAGGAATGCGGGCGCCTTTTTGGACCGGTCGGAATTCTGTAACATTCCTGTACGACATGCCGGAGCACTGCGCAGCATATAGCTGCTCTAACCGGCGGACCATCCCAAACAGGGCTCGGGGGATCACCTTCCACAAGTAAGACTTAATATAACGCTGTCACTGTCCCCTGCTCTCTCAATCCCTCTATATACAGATATAATGAGCACCACACTGCCAGATATAATGAGCACCACACTGCCAGATAGAATGAGCACCACACTGCCAGATAGAATGACCGCCACACTGCCAGATAGAATGAGCACCACACTGCCAGATAGAATGAGCACCACACTGCCAGATAGAATGAGCACCACACTGCCAGATAGAATGAGCACCACACTGCCAGATAGAATGAGCACCACACTGCCAGATAGAATGAGCACCACACTGCCAGAGATAATGACTGCCAGAGATAATGACTGCCAGAGATAATGACTGCCAGATAGAATGACTGCCAGATAGAATGACTGCCAGATAGAATGACTGCCAGATAGAATGACTGCCAGATAGAATGACTGCCAGATAGAATGACCGCCACACTGCCAGATAGAATGAGCACCACACTGCCAGAGATAATGAGCACCACACTGCCAGAGATAATGAGCGCCACACTGCCAGAGATAATGAGCGCCACACTGCCAGAGATAATGAGCGCCACACTGCCAGATAGAATGAGCGCCACACTGCCAGATAGAATGACCGCCACACTGCCAGATAGAATGACCGCCACACTGCCAGATAGAATGAGCGCCACACTGCCAGATAGAATGACCGCCACACTGCCAGATAGAATGACCGCCACACTGCCAGATAGAATGACCGCCACACTGCCAGATATAATGACCGCCACACCGCCAGATATAATGACCGCCACACCGCCAGATAGAATGACCGCCACACCGCCAGATAGAATGAGCGCCACACCGCCAGATAGAATGAGCGCCACACCGCCAGATAGAATGAGCGCCACACCGCCAGATAGAATGACCGCCACACCGCCAGATAGAATGACCGCCACACCGCCAGATATACTACCATCAGGTACAAATACCCGAAGGCGGGGAAGATTTGTCCATCCCCAGCACACCGGCTAGATCGGTCACTCCATCCCGGGGTGACAACGCAAGCCCTGCATCACTCAGGGCATGGACCATTCCTCGGATCATGGCCGAACTAAGGAAGAGGAATATTCCTTTCCCAGCTAGGAAAGCAGAATTATACAGACTGATGAATACACAGACTGATAACTCAGGGGCGGGGGAAGGGTCCAGTGGCAGCCAGTCTTCTGATCTGCATACTGTTTTGTCCTCAGTCCTGACTTCTTTGGGCTGTATTACGGATAAACTCGACAAGATGGATGCAGATAGCCATCAACGGTCATCTTCTCCATTAGGGATTCCGGTCGCTACGGTGCGCCTGGACCCCCTACCGGGTAATATACCAACCGGTCTGAAAGACCCACATATTATTAATCCGGCACATATGGTGCCTGCAAACACTAAAAAGGACATCTTGGAAAGGAAGGATATCAATCTGGTATCACTTCTTATAGCCTCGCAAAATGTTCTTGAAAATAGAACCTATGCATATGGGGATATGTCGGTTGTGTTGAAATCTAGGGACCCCAGGTTGAATCGAAAACTATCTATTCCCGAATTTGTGTTGACTTTCGGTATATACAGAGATGTGATATGCTCTGTATATCCGGATAGGAGAGAAAAATTGGACCTTTATCTCCACAAGCTGGTGGATTTGGGGCACAAGTACGGTGGTACGTCTTTTTACGACTACCACCGTGCCTTTTCCGCAAAGGCGTCGGCCGCTCTATCTCAGTTCAATTATCAAGCTGATTGGTGTGTGCTTGATACAGAGCTTTTTTGTCGACACTTTGCGGGCCTCAAAACCCCAGCTTGTGCCATTTGCTCATCCAACTCCCACACAGCTAATCTGTGCCCTAACTCTCCAGAGGTGAATGCCGTTTTTTCTCCTACTAATGTGATGCCCACTGGGAGAACAGGCAGGGTGCTGAAAGATAAACTAGGCCGTGATATAGTGTTTTGGGGAAAATCGCAAGTCTGTAACAATTTTAACACTGGCACTTGCAGATACAGTGCCTGCAGACTACTGCATGTCTGCTCCCAATGATTCAGGGCTCACTCCAAAGTAATGTGCCCCAATAAATTATATCCTAAGCAGTACTTATCGTCTCTTAATGTCTCCCTACTGGAAGAGCTTTTGTGTGGTCACCCATCTCGACATCTCGTTGAGTTTTTGGTGGCAGGATTTACTTTGAGGTTTCACACGGTATTATTCACATGCCTACGGGAATCTTGGAATGTAAAAACTTACAGACAGCCATCAGCTCCCGACACTATTGACCTACTTCTCCAGAAGGAAGTTGACCAAGGTTTCTTAATAGGCCCTTTCGACTGGTGTTAAGTGGCAAGGTTCATATTATTTTTTTACGCGCCTCACGTTTGATTCTAAGAGCATCCCCAGGATTTTTGATATATTTGCTGAGACGTTGTGCTGGATGCTGCTTAACATCTGTAAATGCCCTGCCGTGATCCATTACCTGGACGATTTCTGACCATAGAAAGGAACCTGGTACCTCCTAGTAGCCTCCTGTCCATAACACGACTGTTCACACAACTAGGAGTACCTGTTTCACCAACAAAGACTGAAGGTCCAGATATGATCATCAACTTCTTGGGGGTGGTGCTGGACTCTGTACATATGCAGGCTAGCCTCCCCAGGGAGAAGATTGAACGCATCCTGGCAGCCATCGACTTTTACCTAGCAGGTGGCTCATGTAATAGGAAGGAGTTACAATCCCTGTTGGGTTCACTAAATTTCGCTATGAAAATTATTCCACAGGGGAGAGCGTTCATATCCCGTTTGCTTAGCCTATTTCCCCTATTGCAATCTGATGCCTCCCGCATTACGTTAGACGTACATGCCACCGCTGACCTACATATGTGGAGGGAATTTTTGCTAAATTGGAATGGGAAAAGCATTTTTATCCCGGTATGGTCAGATAAGTCGGTGTCAGTCTGGACGGATGCCGCTGCCACTTCAGGATTTGCCGCTATTTGTGGCAATGAATGGATGTGGGGTAAATGGCCGGGGGAAATTACTGAGATCCCCAAGTTCAAGGACACATCAGCCTTATTTGAGCTGTATCCTATTGTGGCAGCAGCAGTTAAGTGGGGAGCTTGCTGGTCTGGGAATACGGTGCGTTGCTTCTCGGACAACATGGCAACGTGCCATATTGTAAACAATGGACGTTCCTCTTCCCTGGCCATTATGCGGTTTATGAGGACTCTCACATGGCTAGCTGCAAAACACAGTTTTCTTTTAACTTGCATTCATGTGCCTGGGGTTCTCAATATCGCTGCTGATCACTTATTCCCTCCTTGCCGGTATGCACACTGCAGAAAGCCACAGCAGTTGGCACCTGTGTTTTTCCAGCATCTAAAGTCTGCAAAGGACACATGGAAATTGTTTTAGAATTTCCTCCAGGCAACAGTTTTCCTATAAACTGACCTCTCAGTTTGACTTGTGATGGTATTGCCCCAGAATTACAATATTGTTAAAGTACCTCTTAGCTATTGATAACTGGTTTAAATATAGCAGCTTGTTATCTGGTAGTTTCTAGTGTAGAAAATATCAATCTGTTTTCTATCACTTAGATCTGCGTAACAAGTGTTGTAGGTGTGAAACAATATTACAAGTGACTGATGTAGTAAATTTGAATCAAAGTTACGCTTCGATTTGACTCTCAGATATGAAGTGAACACCCTAAAAAGTTTTTTAACTTTTTAAAACTCCAATGTAAGCAGCAGATTAGCAGCAAAACAATTATATGTTTGTTTACAAGTGTGCAGAAAGCACACTATTAGACTGCAGCCTTTGAAAACGCGCCATTAAATCGCCGAACTCCAACTCGAACATACAGTGATATGTTCGGGTTCAGGTCCGGGGTCCAAAAAACCTAATGTTCGGTACGAACCCGAACTTTTTAGTTCGGGTTCGCTCAACTCTATCCCTGTATAAAGCTGTCAGTGTTCCCTGCTCTCTCTCACTCAATCCTTGTATAAAGCTGTCAGTGTTCCCTGCTCTCTCTCTCATTGTATAATGCTGTCAGTGTTCCCTGCTCTCTCAATCACTGTATAATGCTGTCAGTGTTCCCTGCTCTCTCAATCACTGTATAATGCTGTCAGTGTTCCCTGCTCTCTCAATCCCTGTATAATGCTGTCAGTGTTCCCTGCTCTCTCAATCTCTGTATAAATCTGTCCGTGTTCCCTGCTCTCTCTCACTCAGTCCCTGTATAAAGCTGTCTGTGTTCCCTGCTCTCTCTCACTCAATCCCTGTATAAAGCTGTCTGTGTTCCCTGCTCTCTCTCACTCAATCCCTGTATAAAGCTGTCAGTGTTCCCTGCTCTCTCTCTCACTCAGAGTAACTTGTAGTTTAGCTCATTACAATTTCCAAGTAGCGTGCCCAATGCTGTGTATTATTCATATGTAATTCACCATAACAAAAGTATACCCCACTTAAAATCAAGGGAACAAAACACCTTAGTTTAGAATGGTTTTCAAACAAGCTTATTCACAATTTCAACAAATTTGGTTCATTATAAAAACATATGCATCAAAATAGGAGGTTTGTTGAAAAAAGTTTCTGAAAAATGTAAAGTAAGAAAATTAGCTTGAACTCCTTTTGTGAAATGTTTTTGTGTAGACTCTCCTAAATTTTCCATTTTCATTTTGAAGGTTTCCCAAGGACAAAGATGTGAGGAAGAAGTGGGAAGTGGCTTTGAGAAGAGAAGGATTCACTGCAAGTGATTCATCAGTGCTTTGCTCTCAACATTTTAAGCAGGGTGATTTTGATAGGACGGGTCAGATTGTCAGACTCAGAGATGGTGTTATTCCATCTGTCTTCAGCTTCCCGGTTCACCTTCAAAAGGTAGGTGTATCATCATAAGGTTATTAGCATTCATAATTTGATATTTTCTATTATCAAACACAGGGCAGGGTGAGATACTTATCCGTATATATATATATATTATGCTTCTTTATTTTAGTTGGAAATGGGCAGGTCGACATCTACCTCCAGAAGAGCTGAAGAAAGCTTACCTATGGCCTCTCAGGATTCCAAAGAAACAGCAACCTCAAAACCTCACCCTACTGATGTGAATATTTCTACTTTAAATATCATATCATAATGTTCCTGGACATATTAAAAATCGAACTTGTTTGTTGCCACTCATATTAAACACACTCACAAGTAAACGAATACAACAAACCATGTTCATCCCTTTTTCTACTAGGATCATAGCTATGCCTTGCCTGCTTCCCCTACAACTCTTAAGACCAGACTCAATGAAGCCTTAGCAAGAGGGGAAAGTCTGGAACGAGAGAAGAAGAATGCCAGGGCCAGAGAAAAGAGGGCAAAGACCACAGTAAAGAGTCTTTTGGGGGATTTGAGGAAAAAGCACCTAATTAATGAAGAACTCAAAGAGAAGCTTGAATTCTACTCAGGTAGAGTTTTTTATGATTGCTTATACACTAAAATTAAACTTTTCCCACAATCTCAAAGCAAAAGCTTTCAAATGAACACACCAATTGATTAAACACAGCCGCCAGGTGTGCACCATAATATATATGTCTATGCTGTGCACACACACTGACGGTTAATTGTAGACACACCAATCTGGTGCAAGCACGTTGCCTTGCAAATGAAAATATAACCTGTGATATTTACAAGGACCTGTGACCAGATCCAGCAAAGCAGAGAGATGTTTAGTTTTCTTTTTTATTAGATACTGAACTGGATATGTAATTTATGTTCCAGTATTACTGTAAGCACAAAGTACAATGGTACAGAGGCGTCATGCCCATTGAAATTGAGGGGTACGTGACCCTTGAGATTTTTAGAGGTAATTGGATTTTGCATTCATTTTAAATCATAACATTTCAGATAGACCTCATGGCAAAGCAGGGCAATGAGTACACAAAGGACTACAGAGAGTTTGCGCTCACGCTCCATCTACATGGTCCAAAGGCATACAAATACCTCAGAGAGAGACTGCATTTTTCCCTCCCACATCCACATACATTACAAAGGTAGGCTTAATATTGTCCAATTTTAAGTTTTGGAAATTACAGATGTAAACACGTTAAATCGTTTCCTCTCAATTTTTTACAGGTGGCTGCATTCGGTGGATGCCAAGCCTGGCCTAAACAAGATGATGCTGGATATGCTGGAGAGAAGATGCCAGGGAGACCAGGATAAATATGGATGCTCCAAGTTCAGCGGTATGTGCTCACCTACAGGATCACTTGGCGCTCCTATTTAATTCCATCAGAGCATCAGGTAGGGTTGGTGTTCTTTTATTTACAATAAATTCAGAAAATATACCAAATTAATATCTTTGTCTTGTGAGTAATGCAGTATGTATTGTGTGCCTGTTTTCCAAACAAGGAGGCTGGAATAACAACCCATCAGCATGCCAGTTCCAGGCCATCTTCCGCCGTCTGATGGTTCAATGTGGTGTCTCACCTGGGGAGACAGGCAATGTGGCAGCCCAATACAACACTGTGTCCCTGTCTGCTGTGGAGATGTCCTCTGCTGAGACTGCTGAAGAGCACCCATCTCCATTCGCCAACATTTCGGCCCTTGTGTGTGACCATAATTATCTCCCTACTCGGTTTGGTGGAAAATGCTCTTGTGTACGTAGCAGGGTTTGTAGTCTGGAAGATTATACGAAAACTGTCCTGTCATGTGTGCCGTGCGAGCTTGGTCAGAGATGCTGTACCATCTTCCAGCCCTGAAAAATGGCGGCCTACTGATTCCATCTCAAGGCACAGTGAAGGTTTGATTTTATCATTTTTTTTTTTTTTTTTTAAATCTTTGTATATTAAGGTTGCTTTGTTCTTTTTTCTATGTTCTGTAAGCACTGTGTAAAGACCTATATTAATATGATTTATTATTATCATCAAAGGTGCTGAGAGCTGCAGAGAGGGTGATCCACCTTGCTTCACCAATGCAGGCCTCTAAGGTGTCGGCTGTCACACACATCGTCCTGGAGGAGATTGGAACAGAGGATGTTTTTCTGCTTGGGGAACACATTGAGGAGACGAGGAGACACAGTTTGGCATAGACAACCATCATTCTGACTTCCTATCGTTGGTTATTTCTGTGTTTCTCAAGATAAGGCTGCACCACATTACCAAACTCACCTCTCTTGAACTGTAGAAAGAGAGCACGAGAAAGAAGCTCTGTAAAACAGTCCTTTTTCAGGGGTTTTAGTGTGGGGTTGGGGGTGGGTGGGGGCATTTTTGTGTGCATTGTGTTGGGAGTGTTATGGGCAAATGCAAATACTACAAGTTTTAAAATGAAATGTATTTTTTAAACTGTGTACTTTGTCTTTAAGAGATATTGCAAACTGACAAGGTGTTAGAAATGGAACATATTGTTTTTCATAACTTTCTTTATAAGCAATAAGCTCTTACCTACCTTCAGTGCATAATATGTTTACATTTTGTCCATTTCATGGATTTTATGTCTATATTTATATATATTTTTTTTTATTTTTATATAATATCTAAAAAGACAAAACTTTATTGCTTCTAAGACAATCCTTATTTTATATTGCATTCTCTATTGTTCTCCCTTTTTATCACATTTAATTTTATCTGTCGATTGTGATACTTTTTCCTCCATAGCATGTGTATTTTTACAGTCAGGCTTTTATCCCTGCAGTGGGCATTCATTGCATAGCAAATGTCCACTCAATGAATCTGAAGTTGCATAGTCTGTCAGGGGTCCTCAAACTATGGCCCCTGGGCTGATTTCTACCTGCCAGGGTCCTGTACCCAGGCCAAGCCCTCAGGGCCACCTGATGGGCCCTGTATGTGCAATAGCGCGACCGCGCGGGAAGTGGGAAAGACAGACAGGCTGCGAGGAGGGAAGAGCCACGCCGACTCCCATCAGCCGCAGCCATCCTCCTGCAAAAAAAGTAAGAAAAATTAGCTGTCAGTATGTGTCTGTCTGTCTGTGTGTATGTGTGTCTGTCTATGTGTGTGTATTTATGTCCTTATGTGTGTGTGTGCAGTGTGCACAGGAGTTCGTTCATATTTTTTATAGTCTTGTCCCAAACAGTGTTTGGGGGACCGTGAACTGGCCCCCTGTTTAAAAACTGCTGAGTTTGTACTAGAAGGGCATTTTGTAACATTTGTAAATATCTGGCTTAGTTTAAACAATTAGAACTGTAAAATATCTGAACTAGCTTCTTAAAATTTTATTGCATCCCCCTCCTAGTCTATGGGCTAATGTTTTGTGTGTTTGGAGCAAAAGGATGACTGCTTTCATTGTTTTTCTTTACCTGGTCTGTCAGTGAGTGAACTCTGTTGCTATACCTGGAACATTTAAATATTGGATACAAACCTGTATATTTGTAATTTTCCCATTGCCCTTCTATGGCGTGCAGTAATCTGCATTGAACTCCCCCCTTTTTATAACATTGTTTTCTGGATAGGAATGATTAGCTTTACTTGTGAGCCAACAGTCTTGCTGTAGTTTTCAAGATAGTTATGAACTGAAATGTTGCTTGCGTATATACATTTTTTTTAATTTACAAAAAACACACATTCTTTATAGCTATTGCTCAAAATTAGCAACTACTGTAGTACAAGACATTGTGACCTTATTTTTCTTTTAACAATGTGGCTCCATTGCCAAAAGAAATAAATGGGAAAGTTAAAATACGCCAAACCTATATGTCTATGGTGTCCTGTATTCTAGCGGGTCATTAGCGCCAGTAGGAAGTAGCGGTCAATGCGGCGTCTAGGTATATGTCTATGATGTCAATTGCAAACATTAGGATCTCCTGTGTGGGCCAATGGAAAAGGCTGATTTATTATAATTTTTTATGCACGTGGCCAATAAATCCAATTATAAACACTAATTTTCCCAGCAAATATTGTATATGGCTCAGGGAGGGCTAGAGGTGGGGCTGTTTATAAAGAGGGGCTTTTGTGAGATATATAATTGGTAAGTGCACTTACAATGAGCGTGCACTTAAGGAAATATATAATAAATATTTCTTTATAAAAATATATATATATATATTTTTTATTTTGTTCATATTATAAACTGAAGTTTACCAAAACCCAAGCTATGGCACTAGAAGTACCATAACAGATGGAGCTCTTAACCCCTTAAGAACTCGTTTTCCTGGCACTATAGTGTTAATAGGTCCCCCCCCTCCCGCCAGACTCGAGAGGTTAAGTGGTTAAACACTTGCCTTTCTCCAGCGCCGGGCTCCCTCGGCGCTGGGGACTCTCCTCCCTCTTCCGACGTCATCCGCCGAATGTGCATGCGCGGCAAGAGCCTTTCTCAATGCTTTCCTATGGACGTCTGCGTCTTCTCACTGTGATTTTCACAGTGAGAGGCGCGGAAGCGTATTTTGCGGCTGTCAATGAGACAGCAACTAGAGGCTGGATTAACCCTAATGTAAACATAGCAGTTTCTCTGAAACTGCTATGTTTACAGCTGCAGGGTTAAAGGACCACTATAGGCACCCAGACCACTTCAGCTTAATGAAGTGGTCTGGGTGCCAGGTCCAGGTAGGTTTAACCCTTTTTTCTATAAACATAGCAGTTTCAGAGAAATCATTTTCAGAGATTGACAGCCGCTAGAGGCGCTTTTCACTGTGATTTTTCACAGTGAGAAGACGCCAGCGTCCATAGGAAAGCATTGTGAATGCTTTCCTATGGACTGGCTGAACGCGCGCGCGGCTCCTGCCGCGCATGCACATTCAGCCGAGGCGGAGGAGAATCCCCCGCTCGGCGCTGAAGGAAGAGGAAAGTTTAACCCCTTCCAGCCCCTAGAGCCTGGCGGGAGGGGGGCCCTGAGGGTGGGAGCACCCTCAGGGCACTATAGTGCCAGGAAAAAAAGTATGTTTTCTTGGCACTATAGTGGTCCTTTAACCCTAGATGGACCTGGCACCCAGACCACTTCATTGAGCTGAAGTAGTCTGGGTGCCTATAGTGGTCCTTTTAAGGAAAATAGTTAAAGATAAATGAATTTAGTTGTTCTGATTTACAGAATATATAATGTGTCTAGGTTTTTAAAGGGACACCTGAACAACTTTAGCTTAATTAAGTAGTTTTGGTGTATAGAACATGCCCCTGCAGCCTCGCAATCCTCTGCCATTTAGGAGTTAAATCCCTTTGTTTATGAACCATAGTCACAACTCCCTGCATGTGACTTGCACAGCCTTCCATAAACACTTCCTGTAAAGAGAGCCCTATTTAAGCTTTCTTTATTGCAAGTTCTGTTTAATTAAGATTTTCTTATCCCCTGCTATGTTAATAGCTTGCTAGACCCTGCAAGAGCCTCCTGTATGTGATTAAAGTTCAATTTAGAGATTGAGATACAATTATTTAAGGTAAATTACATCTGTTTGAAAGTGAAACCAGTTTTATTTTCATGCAGGCTCTGTCAGTCATAGCCAGGGGAGGTGTGGCTAGGGCTGCATTAACAGAAACAAAGTGATTTAACTCCTCAATGACAGTGAATTGAGCAGTGAAATTGCAGGGGAATGATCTATACACTAAAACGGATTTATTTAGCTAAAGAAATTTAGGTGACTATAATGTTCCTTTAAGTTTTGGGGTTTTTTTTGTTTTGTTTTTGGTAGTTACAGGTCACAAAACACAAGGAGTAAAATAAACTTTTAATTTGGAACGATTTTTAGAATTTGGTATGTTTGTCTTGTAAGCTTAATAGCCATAAAAGAAAACAAAATTGCTGCACAAAAATATATTTATATAAAGTAGACATCACAGGCTATTTACCTAAGGTCATTTTGATACTTTTTACGTCGCCATTTCACCGCCAATCTCTGCTAAATATTGGAGTAGCATTGTGATTGTTTTTGGTTTTTGACATACAAACTTTTCTCATGTGTATTTTGTAAAGTTGGTGTGTGCTATTCCTGTACAAAACTTTATTTTGTGTTCCGCTACATCTGCGGAGTAAAATGAAACCCCCATTGTATATATTTGGTACTATTTTGTTAAGCTATAGTGCCACATAGGAGACCTGTCCATTTCAGTATTTACAGTTGAATTTTGAGATTAATTTTTTGGGCCTATGCTTCAATTTGGGGTATTATAGTAGTTTGACTGTTCCAAAAACCCCACAAAGGCCTACCATTTGTAAACGTAGACACTCCAGGGTATCTCATATTGTGCTTTAACATGCCCCCATTTTTTTAACAATATATGTAAAAGTATGTGGTAAAAAAAAAAAAAAAATTGGGGGCAGTTTTTTTACATACGAATTACATTTTTGCTGGGCATTTTGTATATTTGATAAGTGCCACTATGATCAAAGCCCCAAATTTATTCTCAGCCAAGTCTAAGTAAAATGATACCCCCAATGAATGTCTTTGGCACTATTTTGTGAAGCTTCAGTGCCATATAGGAGACCTGTCCATCTCAGTATTTACAGTAGAATTTGAGAGACTGATTTGATGAGTCCATGTTTCAATTTGGGGCATTATAGCAGTTTGACACAAACGCCTACCATTTGTAAAAGTAGACCCCCCACGGTATTTCAAAAGGCATATTTTAAACCTTATGTGTACCTTTTTCAGGGATATGTGGATGTTGAAGGGGCACACTGGAGACCAAGCCATATTGGTTTTTACCAAACTTTGAATTTTGACGCTGGGCCAATATGCGATTTTAGCAGGTTTTTAATTCAAACTACCCCACAAAAGCCTACCATTTTTTAAAGTAGACACTCCAGGGTATATCAAAAGGCATATTTTAAACCTTAGTGTAGGATAATTCTAATGCTAGTTTGTACCAAGTATAGTTGGAATTACCATTTTCCTGCCTTTTTGACACACACTTGGAGATCTTACTGTATATTTTGCAATCCCCATGTGTGCTACGGCAGTATGTCACCTAATATGTTGCTCAGCTATGTCGTCTTAGTACAACAATAACTTCATGTGTACCTGTGACGGACCGCCTGGCACCCCGACCAGGTGCCTCTGCCAATCAATGCTCCTAGTGCTCACCGAGGACTCCAAGCACTCCACCAGACCCCATCAGCACTGTAGTCCGCACTTCCAGCGTTACAGCTTGTCTGGGGTCATGCCGTCCTCAGCCCACCCTGGACCCAAGACCAGGATCCAGCTTCCAGTGGTTGAACCTCTCCTACTCCAGAGAGTATAGCAGGAACATCTCTCATAAGAGCTAGTGATTATAGCAATCCAAAGAACAATCCCAAGAGCAGGGATTATAGCTGCTATTGCTTTCCCCTACAAGCACAAGACGAGGCTCTGTGTTAAGGGTAAACAGGAACTCATTTTAATTGTGCCACACTTGACCTTATATGACAATCCCCATGCAAGGAGCACTCCAACATGGACCTTATTGTAGACTTACAAAGTCACGGACCAATAATAAGTGTTACAATGCATGACACTCCCACACATAGCATACAATCCCTCCCCTCTGCCTGGGAGATAATTGAGTCAGATACTGTGTTAACTCAATTATCTCTAGGCAGAAAAAACACATTTTACAGAAACACCCCACAAATGTTACATCCCCTGATAGCCCTGATCTGGGTGACCAACATATCCAAAACTTACCCAGATCAGTTCAGGGGTTCACGAATTTCCTGGAAGTCTTATTTTGACCGACCGCACGCTTGGTTCCATGCCCAAAACAGTTCCAGGTAATCCGTCTACTTCAGGGATTCGAAGTGCAATATAAAACGTAGAGAGTGGACTATCTCTCCTTCGGGAGCTTATTCTCACCAAACGCCATTTGACTCCCATTCGAATAACCGAACATCTGTGGAAGGTAAGTAGTGAGCATTGTTCGTGCCGTCGAGTGTCCGATTTGAGTTCCATGTACTCGACGACCAAACACCACTTATTGTGCTCGCGGCTTAAGATGGCCGCCGCCACGTTTTTGAATGCCGTTTTGAACCGCTTCGGGAGTTCGAAGTGCTGCTTCACAAACCGTTTATTACAGGGGCCATAGTCACAGAGCAGGAGGCTGGCAAACAGGCTCCTCCAATCGCCACAGTACCTTTTTCAGGGATATGTGGATGTTGTAGGGGCACATTTGAGACACACCAATTTCATATTTTTCAAACGTGGATGTTGGGCCTAAGTCTCATTTTAGCAGCTGATGATTGCAAATTACCTCTCAAAGGCCACATCTATTTTTAAATATAAGCAGCTCATCAATTCAAATTATGAACAAGTGCATACTATTTGCTGTAAAAGGGGGGTTTTGGTTTAAATGGAAATATTAAATGTTCTATTATGGCCTTATATACCTCACCAACTGCTAAGGTGGTAGGGGCCAGATTTTCCTCTGAATGGTTCCAATTAAAGAATGGAACCAGACAGGGGTGCCCGCTCTCACCACTTATATCTTATGGTTATTGAACCTCTGGCAAAAGCAATAAGAGCCAACAATCGAATAAAAGGACTGCATATACCAAACGATGGTGTCAAATTAACAATGTATGCAGACGACATTGTTCTTACCCTGAGTGACCCTATAAGTTCTATGAGTGAGTTGATACTTCTTATGGAAGAGTTATCAAGTCTCTCAGGTTATAAATTGAATTTAGACAAATCTGTTGCACTGCCGCTTAATTTGCTTTGGCATGTCGTCAAAAACTTAAAGCAGGCTTTTGGCTTCACTGTTCGGGAATCATTTAGCTGTTTAGGGATTGAAATCACAAGGGAGCCCTCGAAAATAATGGAAATTAACTTCATGTTGCTACTAAAGGATACTGGTAAAAAGAAAATGAAAGAATGGAGAAATACTGAAGTTTCATGGTGGGGGAGAATAAATACGGTTAGATCATACATTTTCCCAAAGTGGATTTACTTGTTTCAAATGGTCCCTATAAAATGTTAAAATATTTCTCTACACTAGATGAAGAATATAATTTAGGAAGCAGAGAAATCTTTACCTTTAGAATAAAGAGTTTTTTTTACGTAAACCTCTAGCACTCAAAACCGATAAATTGAATATTCTGGAAAAATGTGTGACAAAAACAACATTAACTAAGTTAATAGCGGGATACATGGATTTGATTAGTAATGATACCGAGGTATACATGAAACCCACTTTCAATAAATGGGAAAAAGATCTAACTATTCATCTTTCTCATAAAGACTGGCTAAATTCATGGAATGTGGTATACAAAAACATTCACTGTCTTAACTTATTGGAGTGTCACTTTAAACTCCTAAATCGTTGGTTCTTAGTCCCAAGCAGAATATCTAAGTACGTCTCAGATAAAGAAAATAGATGTTGGAGATGCAAACACCATATAGAAGACTTTCTTCATATATGGTGGGAGTGCTTCCCTATCAAATATTTTGGGATATGATTTGAAAGTAAGATCTTAACAATAACTAGTACTTCCTTTTCTTTCGGTGCCGACCTTGCTTTATTACAGCTTAATGTAAAACAAAACTTTAGTAGTTATACTCATTTAGTTACTTTTATACTGGTAGCTGCAAAAATTATGAAAGCTAGAGATTGGAAAGTATCGGATACCCCTATCTGGTTTATGATGAAGGAGCAAATGAAATACCAACTAAAGATGGAAGGGGGCATTATGACAGATTCATACGACATGATGAATGTATGGTTAACACAAATAGAACAAGTTTAGAGGACACTTGCTTTTAAAGATTCTCTCTCCCAGTTATGAAAACAATGTCTAGTGTATGTGTTTAGCTTGTAGTGAAGGCAAGATTAAGGTTCTCCAGGAACTCCCCTTCCTGAATAGGGCCTAACCCAACATCAGATGATACAGCTTGGTCATCTTGTGGTGTCACATATGTCCTATGTTTTGTAGTTTGTCTGCATGTATATTTCTTGCAATATGGATGTAATGTATTTTCTACTGATTTATCAATGCTATACATGTTGTGGCAAACTTACTTCCCTGTGTGTGTTTGTCCAGGATCTTTTGGCAACTGCACAGTCCTCTAGGGTAAGGAAGCCCGGCCAAGACAAAGTCCAGTTTCAAAGGACTCTGGCCTGTTTATTTTCTGTTGTTAAGAAGTAACAGGATACAACAAGCAGCAAACCTTCTTTCAAGCCCTCTCTCAATCGAATAACCCAGATATTTTGCCTCTTCCAAACCTATAGTACGCTTAGAAGGGTTAGCAGTTAAACCAGCTAGGTGGTTAGAGTGCAGTACTGCCTGCACTTTGGGAAGATGTGAAGCCCAGTCAGAACTGTGAATGACTATGTCATCTAAGTATGCGGCCGCATAACGGCTATGAGGCTTCAAAATCCTATCAATCAGTCTTTTAAAAGTGGCAGGGGCCCCATGTAACCCAAATGGTAGCACCTTGTAGTATTGTATTGATGTCGAAAAAAGCAGTTTTTTTCTTTTTGCTCTGTCTGTAAGAGGTACTTGCCAATAACCCTTTGTCAGGTCCAAAGTAGTCAGGTACCAAGCCTTACCTAGTTCATCAACCCTAGGCATTGGATAAGCACCAAACTTCACCAAAAATCATGGGCTACTTTTCCTGGAGCCCCCCACAAGTCTAAAAATTGGGGGAAATCCCTTCCCAACACCCTGTCATAAGCCAATTTATCCACCACCCCTGCTCTATGATTCACAGTACCAAAAGGGCTTTCAAATTTCATCAAAACTGTAGGATATTCACATTTGTCACCATAAACACAAATAATACCAATTTTCTGAAATGCATCAACATCGGCTTCAGATACAAGGCATTTTGTTATCAATGTAGCCATACTGCCGGAGTCTAATAGAGCTCTAACCTCTTTCCCATTCACCTTTATAGAACATAGCTGCGGATTGTGACTACAGTTGGCTACAGCAGATTCCATATAATTCAGCAGACAAGACAATTGTACATCCTGATTAATCATATTGCATTGCATAGGTTCATCAATCAAGGGACAGTCTCTAGCTTTATGTCCAAGTTCATTACACCGGAAACATTTAATATTCTAATCTGTCCCCCACCTCGACCCTGTTCCAGGTTTAACATTTCTAGGCATAAGCGTATGGGATCTCTGAGAATATGTCTCTTGTTCCTATGTGTCTCTGAAACCTTGAAAAATCTTACCAGGTCTTTCAGCAGCTGGAGTCTTAACTCTCTGCATAGACTTTGTTTTGTTAAGCCACTGTGTCATTTGCAGCAACATATCTTTCCACCAAACTAATTAACTCATCGGCTGATTGTGGATCACTCTGACTGACTGACTGACCCATCGACGCAGTGAATCTGTCCATCACAAGAAGTTCCAGGATGTGACTTGCTGTATTTATTTCTGGTTGTAGCCACTTTCTAGCAAGATGTATCAGGTCAAACATCTGGGAGCAGATAGGTTTCTCTTGGTCGAAAGTCCAGGCATGAAATCTTTGGGCATGAACTGCCATAGTGTCACGTATTCATCCGCTTATAAAAAGGGGAGGGGAAGTGGGGGTGAAGAGTACCACAGAGGGCTGAGGGGGGAGGGGAGGCGCACACAGGGGAAGGAGAGGCACACAGAGGGTTGAAAGGGGGAAGAGAGGCATGCAGAGTGCTGAGAAGGGGAAGAGACCCACAAAGGTACTGGGGGGGACAGAACGAGGGAGGGGGGAAGAGAAACAAAGAGGGAATGGGGTAAACAGAGACACATAGATTGGCTGGAGGGAAAAATACACGCAGAATGCTTGGAGGGAAAAAGACACAGAGGGACTGCTGGAAAGAGATAAAAAGGGGCTGGGGAGAAGAGAGAAACAAAAAGGGGCTGTGGGGCAAAGACACAGAGAACAAGGGAACAAAGAGGGGTCTGGGGGAAAAAAAGACACTTAAAAGGGATGACGGAGAAGAGAAACATAAAAAGAGGCTGGAAGAGAATGAGACACACCAACTGAGGGGCAGGGTGGAAGAGATACACACAAATTAGTTACGGCAGAAAGCGACACTCAAAGTTGGTTGGCAATTTTTGCTTTTGGCGGGGATGCAAGTAGTTGGTCTCACCTAGGGTGCAAAATAGTCTTGCACAGTCCTGACCTGACCTCTCCAAGGGCCCCCCATGGACCACTATTTTCTTATTGTCTCTTTAATTCTTATCTGCCTCTTCATCAGTGTTTTGGGGGCTTTTGCATTTGTTTAATGCACATTTTTACCTGCTTCCTCCATACACTTGAAACTATTGCATGGGTTATTATGCTAACCAACTGATTCGTAACTATTTTGCACTGATTCCAAGTTGCACTGCTTATCTCCGTATCGCTATGCTATGTTTGTGTATGTACAACCTGTGTCTTTTCTTTCAAACATTTTCAATAAAAATATACATTGAAAAAATAATTAAAATGTCTGTATTGTGATTTACTGTTACATAAATACTTGAGCTTCCCAGGCAACTTATTAACTCTCACATGGTTGCTTTCTGTGGGAAAATAGTCTGGACCACGTAAATCACATTAACTGTCCTGCATTCCTCTTGAAAGAAATTAAAGAGACCTGCACACCAGGAAATTGGTAATATGATAAAGGAAGCTGATAGCTTTGTCAGGAGTTGGTATCACTACATTGACTTTTGTTTGTTAGCAAAACCTCAATGTAACGTAACACTATTACCTGTGGGGGGGTCTCTGTATTTTTTGTCAACACCCCACGAGCAGACATATGCACTGAATGGAGGGAGAAGAGGTGAAGGTGATATACTTGTCTAAGTTATCCTTTATAAGCACTGCCATTTTCTCTTTGTCCACTGGCCAACAAAGTTACAAAATCCTTTTTTCTCCCACGTTTGATTTTCAAAGAAGAGACAGTGCTACTTTAATAGAGGCTCTTTTGCCGTGGTAGTGGCCGCCACTTACTAGAAAACCCCATTACATAAATATATTATTGTGACCAAAAGGTGAGCCACCCTTTAACAAGAGCCACCGACAGATTTGCAAGTAGGCCGAGTGTGCAATATCCTGAGTAGAAATGTGCATTTTTATTATTATTATTTTTCAATATATTTTATATGTTTTGTTTTAATTTTGCTACAAGATAATGTGCTTTAAGGGACTGGATCGTTTCTTTAAATGTTTATTAGCATGTTATCACATATTGCATAACCAGGCTGGGTTGGTGTAAATACAAAGACAAACCGAAGATGGCCATATTAAAGGACTACTCCACACCCCAAGCTGAAGTACTTTATGGGTGAGGAGTAGCCTAGTTTGACCCCAGTTTATAAAAGTGCTGATTGCTATCAAACAGCCAGGGAGGTTTGCAGATTTCTTCCATCAGCTACCCTGAGCTAACGGAAGTGGCAGGCACTAGACATTTGAATTCGGACATTCGGGTACTTCCAAATGTCCGAATAGCTGATTTGCCGAAGTGTCAAAGTGCCGAAATTTCAAAAGCACAGTATTGCCTAAGTACTAATATACTTACCCAGTGGAGGAATGAAGAATGTTACACTGTATACAAGTCTAAATAAAAAGTATACAAACATAGCCAGGATTCAGCTGTAAGCATTTGCAACACTTACAACAATCAAGTAACACACATTCATATAAAATGTAAGTTACTTAGCCAGTCAATGGAATGAATAAGTAGATAACTCCCTAATTCCCACGGTATTAGGGAGCTATCTACTAAAAGGCTGAAAGACCTAAATTGGTCTTTCAGCCAAATTTACTAATACTAAGTAAAGATTACTAAGTATTAGTAAATTATGTCCCTACTTGCTATACCGCAAGTAGGGGCATGTCTAGTAAACAGTGAGCAGCTTGTGGCTGCTCACTGTAAAAAAAAAAAACACGTCCTCCCTCCCGAGCCCCCACCTGTGCTGCGTGAGTGAGGGCTTCTAACCTGAAAGGCGGGTGGGGGCCCTAAAGTAAAATAAGGGGGGGACCTATTGTCCTTCCCCCGGCCCCCACCCAGGAGCGGTGGGTGGGGCCCCTAAATTAGAATAAGGGGGGCCTATTGTCCTCTCCCACCCCTGAGTGGCAGGTGGGGGCCTTATATCTGAATGGGGGGGGCCTATTGTCTGGCCCCCACCCCTGAGCGGTGGGTGAGGGCCCTAAATTAGAATAAGAGGGGGGACCTAATGGCCTCCCCTCTGGCCTCCACCCCTGAGCGGTGGATAGGGGCCCTAAATACCATTTGGGGGGACCTAATGTCCTGGCCCCCACGTCTGAGCGGTGGATAGGGGCCCTAAATACCATTTAGAGGGGGACCTAATGTCCTCCCCCCTGGCCCCCAACCCTGAGCGGTGGATGGGGGCCCTAAATTAGAATAATTTAGGCGGGTGGGGCCTTAAATCAGAATAGGGGGAGACCTATTGTCCTGGCCCCCACCCCTGAACAGTGGGTGGGGGCCCTAAATTAGAATAAGGGGGGGACCTAATGGCCTTCCTCCTGGCCCCCACCCCTGAGCAGTGGATAGGGGCCCTAAATACCATTTGGGGGGAAACCTAATGTCCTCCCCCCTGGCCCCAACCCCTGAGTGGTGGGTGGGGGCCCTAAATACCAATTAGGGGGGGCCTAATGGCCTTCCCCCTGGCCCCCACCCCTGAGCGGTGGATAGGGGCCCTAAATACCATTTTGGGGGAAACCTAATGTCCTCCCCCCTGGCCCCAACCCCTGAGCGGTGGGTGGGGGCCCTAAATACCAATTAGGGGGGGACCTAATGTCCTCCCCCAGGGCCGGATTAACATAGGGGCTGATGGAGCTGCAGCTCCAGGCCCATGGAATAGGCCCATTGATTTTAAAAAAAAATTATTTTATTTTTATTTTTTTAAAATTTTTTACATTTTTTTTTTTCCCACACACTACTCTTAGGGATTCCACCTGGCTTTTATTTTATTGGCACAGCCAGTATTTGAGGCTGCCTGGCTGGTGCCAATATTGCAGTGATACTGGCAATACAAATGCTGGTATTTTTCTCAGTATAAACAAGAGATTACTCTGCAATACCAGCACTGGCCAGTAGGGGTCGCTGTATGTGGAGACAGGCAGGGATAGGAAGTTCCAGCATATCCCTCCCTGCCTATCTATACTCACTGATCTGCAGGGGTGCAGCTACAGAGTCCAGACAGCAACTCCCACCCTGCAGAGACAGCCTACAGCTCAGGGAAGTAAGGGATGGGGGAAAGGCTGCAAGGAGACATGGGGACACTGAGACACTAAGGGACACTGTGAGACATTATGGCAGACACTGAGACACTAAGGGACATTGGGAGACATTATGTCAGACACTAAGGGACACTGGGAGACATTATGGCAGACATTGGGAGACATTATGGCAGACACTGAGACACTAAGGGACATTGGGAGACATTATGGCAGACACTGAGACACTAAGGGACACTGGGAGACATTATGACAGACACTGAGACACTAATGGACATTGGGAGACATTATGACACAGACACATGGGGACACAGTATCCCCATGTCTCCCAGTGCCCCCAGTCTGCCAGTGTCTCACTGTCCCCATGTCTCCTAGTGCCTCCATGTCTCCTAGTGCCTCAAGTGTCTCAATGTCCCCATGTCTCCAAGCTAGTGTCTGTGGCCCTGGTGTCTCCTTGTCCCCATGTCTCAATGTCCCCCAGCCAGTGTCTCTAGTGTCTGTGTCCCCTATTTTGCCAGTGTCCCCATGCGTCCCAGCCAGAGTAACCTAGTCACCCAGTGTCACTGGTGTCTCCGTGTCCCTAGGTCTCCCCGTGTCCCCAGGTCTTTCCGTCTTCCTAGTGACATGGGGACCCTGGGATACATGGGGACACAGGGAGACATGGGGCATTGAGACACTGTGATACATAGGATCACTGGGAGACATGGGGACACGACACTAGGGGACACTGGGAGACATGGGGCACTGAGACACTCATACATAGGAACACTGAGACCTGGAGTAATCGACACATGGGGGTACTGGGAGACATGGGGCCACTGGGAGGAATGCATCTATACAGCAGAATCAAACTAAGTAGTTTTTTTGGTGATTTTACAGCATTTTCTCTTATGCCACTCCTTGTGATTTACATCATGTGATGTCACCCATGCATATTTAATTATGCAAATTAGCAAGGCCGGTATGTTTTTCCAAGAAAGGTGGCAACCCTAACTACTTTTCACATACTCTTACTTAAGTATGGAAACTTAAGAGGGATGTATGGGAACAAAACTTGTGTGGACTGGCTGACAATGAATATAGTTAATGGGACACTAGAGTCACCAGAACAACTACAGCTTATTGAATTTGTTCTGGTGAGTAGAATCATTACCGTCAAGCTTTTTGCTGTAAACACTGTCTTTTCAGAGAAAATGCAGTCTGTACATTACAGCCTAGTGATAACTTCACTGGCCACTCCTTAGATGGCTGTTAGGGATCCTTCCTGGGTCATGGCTGCCTAAAATGCATCCAAACATTCAGTGTCTCCTCCCTCTGCATGCAGACACTGAACTTTCCTCATAGAGATTCATTGATTCAATTCCTCTCTATGAGGAGATGCTGATTGGCCAGGGCTGTGTTTGAATCATGCTGGCTCTGCCCCGATCTACCTCCTTGTCAGTCTCAGCCAATCCTATGGGGAAGCACTGTGATTGGATTAGGCCACCACTTCTAATGATGTCAGCAGACTGCTTGTTTTTCTGAGTCTAACAACATGCAGAGTTACAGCTTCAGGCTTGAATACAGTAAAACTTTGCTATATTTATGGAGGCATGAGGGGCCCAGGGGGGGCTAGATGGTGGTGTTAACACTATAGGGTCATGAATTCATGTTTGTGTTCCTGACCCTATAGTGATCCTTTAAAGGACCACTATAGTGCCAGGAAAACATACTTGCTTTCCTGGCACTATAGTGCCCTGAGCGTGCCCCCACCCTCAGAGACCCCCTCCCGCCAGGCTCTGGGGAGAGTAAAGGAGTTAAACTTACCTTTTTTCCAGCGCCGGGCGGGGAGCTCTCCTCCTCCTCTCCGCCTCCCATCCTCCTCTTCGGCTGAATGCGCATGCGCGGCAGGAGCTGCGCGCGCATTCAGTCTGTCTCATAGGAAAGCTTTTATAATGCTTTCCTATGGACGCTGGCGTCACAGTGAGAAGCACGCAAACGCCTCTAGCGGCTGTCAATGAGACAGCCACTAGAGGCTTTAGAGGCTGGATTAAACCATTTATAAACATAGCAGTTTCTCTGAAACTGCTATGTTTATAAAAAAAAAGGGTTAATCCTAGAGGAACCTGGCACCCAGACCACTTCATTAAGCTGAAGTGGTCTGGGTGCCTAGAGTGGTCCTTTAAGGTAATGCTGACTTTGGTCTCTCTAACACTGTGGCATGTTCCCTTTCTTCTACACTCACTACATACAGCTTTTCTCTGTCCCAAACTATATACCAGGAGCTTCTGCCTGCTAGTAAGAAGGTAAGGAGACAAGTGGACCAGCGAGTGCTAGGGAACAGTCCTTAGAAAGCGTTGAGCGAGCGCATCATTAGATGCATTTATGCCAAGCTCAGGGTGCTGTCTGCATAGTATGCCCTTAGTTGGCCAGCTGCATGATTGGCAGGCAGCCTGACATGCATTCATACCAGGCTGGCCTTCTAATTCTTTGGGCAGACATGTCCTCTTTTTGGGCATGTTTGCCCCTTTTGGCAGGTTACGTAATTTGTGTCAGTGGCACACCCTTTTACCGTGCCCATTGACTTCCTGCTTGACTGGATACTGCTGTTAGGGGTTATGGATTTACTTGAAAGATGAAAACATAAATTAGTGAGAGATTAGCCTAGGGTATGTGTTTTCTTTTAGCTGCTGTTTTTTTTCTCTCCAGCACCATCTCCATCATGACGCTTGGGAGTGTTTTACTGTTTTTGGTCGATATGATTCTGTAATTAGGCCCATCATAAGCGTCAGCACCAGGCCCACTGGGCTCTTAATCTGGCCCTGCTGGCCCCTACCCCTGAACGGTGGGTGGGAGCCCTAAATACCAATTGGGCGGGACCTAATGTCCTCCCCCTGGCCCCCACCCCTGAGCAGTGGGTGGGGTCCTAAATTAGAATAAGGGGGGACCTAATGTCATCCCCCTGGCCCCCACCCCTGAGCGATGGGTGGGGGCCCTAAATACCAATTAGGGGGGGGGACCTAATGTCCTGGCCCCTACCCCTAAGCGGTGGGTGGGAGCCCTAAATACCAATTGGGGGGACACCTAATGTCCTCCCCCTGGCCCCCACCCCTGAGCAGTGGGTGGGGTCCTAAATTAGAATAAAGGGGGGGACCTAATGTCATCCCCCCTGGCCCTCACCCCTGAGAGCCAGGTGGGGGCCCTAAATAAAAATGTAACCCCCCCGCCAGGTGACTAGGGGTCCCCAGACCCCTAGTGAACCCCTACCTACCCACCTCACCCTAAAAATAATGAGGGGGGGGTGTGACCATTAACTAAGAACCTGTAAAAAAAAAAAAAAAACTTAAAATTTGATTTTTTTCTTTCTTCTAACATCTTTTTTCAGCCCCAAAAAAGGCCAAATAAAAATCCATAATAACCGACGTACTTTAAAAAAAAAAAAATAAGCGCAAAAAAAAAATAAGTTGTGTTCACCCATGGAGGGCTCTGCGCAGACTGAGCTCTGCAAGGGTTATAGGCTCAGAGCACTCTGGTTGGTGGGTTTAAGCCATCCAATCAGAGTGCTCTGACAGGTAAATGAAGAGCCTGACAGGTAAGTCTCTACATTTACCTGTCACAGCACTCTGATTGGTTAGCTTGAAGTCCACCAATCAGAGTGGGAAAGTTCTTTGGAATTTTCCCGCGCTGTGTAATTTGACTCATAACTCTCTGGTTACTTTCAATCCACCAGTGTTGTTATGAGTCAAATTACACAGCGGGTGGGGGGCCCTTTTTTTTTTTTTTTTTTTTTAACAGTGACCAGATACTAGCTGCTAATTGTTTAATAGACATGCCCCTACTCACAGTATAGCGAGTAGGGACATAATTTACTAATACTAAGTAATTTTTACTTAGTATTAGTAAATTTGTCTCAAAGACCAATTTAGGTCTTCCAGCCTTTTGTTAGATAACTCCCTAATACCGTGGGAATTAGGGAGTTATCTACTAAGCGGCTGCAAGATAAGTCCAGAAATGCCGAAGGTCAGAAATTCCGAATTTCTGAATGCAGAATGCAGAACGAAAATTTTGCACATGCCTAGCAGGCACGCTCTACTTGCCTGCCTCCCCGCTCACCAGTTCCTCAGCTCCAGACCTCAGACCAGACGTGCGCGAGTGAGCATGAGCCAACACATGCACATGTATCTTTGCACATGTGTACCAATTCAGAAGCTCTAATTGGTTATTTTCCTGTGAAGGGACTGCAAGTCTCTTCCGGGAAAAAGAGAGGGCTTGCCAAGGCTGCAGTTCGTAAGTTCCTTTAGGATATACCCCCAATGAATACATGTATGAAGATTCATGCATGTATTCATTAGGTGTATATCCACTAAACAGTGATTTCCTTTTTTTCTCCGCCATGTGGAAAGTGGAGTGGTTATTTAAGCATCGAGACTGGTATTATTGTAATGATATGTGGGGGGTGATGAAGGCGTTATTGGGTGGTGGTAAATTTGGTGTAACTTTAGTTCCAGTTAACAGTTTGCGTTAGTAAATCCAGAGTCTTAGGGCTATTAACCCCTTCATATCCAAACATCCCTTACTGTAACAACTTAGAAAGTATTCCTGTTCATGACAAGTGGTCATGAATTAAAGTAATTATTTTACTTAAAGAAGTAAAATTTTCTCTTGATGTTTGCATTAACCAAAACATGATATGGTTTCGCACTTCAAGAATATGGAGTTGTCCGCAGCGTTTCTTATGTTTTCAATACGTAACCAGCTTTCAGAATAAAATCTACCCTGTGCAAACATCCATCTTTTTTCATCCTAGTTCGAATGAAAGCCTCGTAAAAAGGCTTGAGTAGAGCATAATGCAAATAGGCTATGCCAGTTATTATACAGTGCTTCGCTTATGAGAACTAATATACAAAAAATGATGGCCTTGAATTATTTGATTTAGGCAAAGAATGGAAGGAAAATGTTTCTTTTAAGTCTCTTTAAAGGACCACTCTAGGCACCCAGCCCACTTCAGCTTAATGAAGTGGTCTGGGTGCCAGGTCCAGCTAGGGTTAACCCATTTTTTCATTAACATAGCAGTTTCAGAGAAACTGCTATGTTTATGAATGGGTTAAGCCTTCCCCCTAATCCTCTAGTGGCTGTCTCATTGACAGCCACTAGAGGCGCTTGCGTGCTTCTCACTGTGATTTTCACAGTGAGAGCACGCAAGCATCCATAGGAAAGCATTATGAATGCTTTCCTATGTAACTGGCTGAATGCGCGTGCAGCTCTTGCCGCACGTGCGCATTCAGCCGAAGGGGAGGAGAGAAGGAGGATCAGAGGAGGAGAGCTCTCCGCCCAGCGCTGGAAAAAGGTAAGTTTAACCCCTTTTCCCCTTTCCAGAGCCGGGCGGGAGGGGGACCCTGAGGGTGGGGGCACCCTCAGGGCACTATAGTGCCAGGAAAACGAATATGTTTTCCTGGCACTATAGTGGTCCTTTAATGAGATCAATGTTAAAAACATGAGGACTGTAGGTATACTGTGCTACCGTTAATGTAGAACATGATGGAAATTTATAAATATATCATTAACAATTTGAATTTTATTTAATCATGTCCATTGTACGAACAATTATCATAGGAATTATATTTTCTTAAAAGCTTAAACTGAAACCACTTCATTTTAATCCAAAGTACATGTCTATCGCAGCTGTTATATAAACAAGCTAAGTTCAGATAAGATCAACAATACTGGTAATGTACAAGAAAGGATAAAATAGATGATTAAATATGGATATTTATTTTTCACGCTTCACCAAAAGAGACATTACAGATTGTACTTTTCTATAGTCTCAGAATTTGTGATAAATGAGATTTCATGGAGGCTAATGGGCTGTTAAGGTGCAAAGGACATGTTTTTAATCTGCTAATTGGACATAAAAATACATTAGCTCCCAATACACCCAGCATTATCAGTTTGAAACCTTTCTTCTTTCATAGCAGTATTGAAAAATGGCATGGGCAATGATGAAGTCGTTTTTTAATGAATGAACGGGGCGTACCCACCCCTTTTTAAGTGAAGACACTCCTAACAGGTGTGGGAAAAACAGTGCCTAACATGTAGTGTAGTAGTTTATAGAGAGGATGTTTTTTGGAAACTATGATATAAGTTTGCTTTTGAATAAGATTCGCACAGTCTGACAGTTTTATTAATAGATGGGTTATCTTCTTGGAACAAGGATCGTACACATGGAGTGTTGTTCCGACTTTAGTATCAATAATATGAAGAAATTGTTGTTACATCATCATTAAGAGAATGGATTTCAACAAAAGTGATACGAGGCTTGGAAGTGGTTTTAACGATACTACAGATAGTACGGATACTTTGTTTCAAATTGAAATCCTGATTCCGGTAACGATAATTTGCATCACCCTCTTTTTCTTGGGCGTCATAGGAAACGTCATAACAATATTGGTTTTCAAACGCTATAAGGACATGAGATCCACAGTAAATATGTATCTTTCCAGCATGGCTATCTCGGATATTCTTATTTTTCTTGGCATGCCTTCTGACTTGTACAGAATTTGGAAATATAAGCCATATATTTTTGGGGACTTTACTTGCAAGTTTCTGGTGTACCTGAGTGAGACGTGTACTTATTGCACAATCCTTCACATTACTGCTGTAAGTGTGGAGCGATACCTTGCTATATGCTTTCCCCTGAAATCAAAGATAATCATTACAAAGAAGAGGGTGAAAATTGTAATTGTTGTTCTGTGGATTTTTTCTATAATTACAGCTGGACCAATAATGTTCTTGTTTGGGGTGGATCACCCTGCTGAATCCGAACCAGAGGAAGCCATGGAATGTAAATATATGGAGCAGTCAGCCCAAAGCGGGCTTTTCCATTTAATGATATGGGTTTCTGCCATATATTTCTTCGTACCCATATTTTTTTTGACTGTGCTCTATGGACTTATCTGTAGGAAGCTATGGAACAGCAAGCATGGCATCAGGGCTGGCATTAGAGGAAAAGACCACAAGCAAACTGTTAAAATGTTAGGTAAGCAAACTAGACATCCTTTATCTAAGAACTAAACTTGTTTTTGTGGTTTAAGATTCTGTCCTGTAGTAGTATATATTGCTGATCTCAAAAAGAATCTAAATATGTTAGTAAGTGAATGTTCATTGAGTGATTTTGTTCACCTAGAATCAGTGGCGTACATACGCTGCGACCCGGTATGTACCCAGTGTGGCCAGCCTTTTCTCCTGGGGGGCCCAGGAGCCGGCCACCTCATGGCCCCCGAGGCTGGCCCTGGTGTCACCCGGCTGGCGTGCGCGCGAGGGAGTACTCTCCCCTGAGTGCTCCCTCGCGCGCACCCCACTGATGCCGGAGCCAGAATATGACGTCATATTCCGGCTCCGGCATCAATACGCGGCGCGCGAAGGAGCTGAAGAGGGAGCACGCAGGGGAGAGTGCTCCCTCGCGCGCCTGCCCAGTGACCGGCCGCCCAGCAACACCACTGGACCCCAGGGAATCCCCTCAGTCAGCACACTACCAAAGGTAGGGAGGCTGGGGGATTACATTTTGTGTGTGTGTTAGTGTTAGTTTTTGTTTGTGTGTGTCAGTGAGTGTGTTACTGTGTGTGTGTGTGTCAGTGAGTGTGTTAGTTTGTGTGCGTCTGTTTGGTGTCTGTTTGGTGTCTGGTAGTGAGTGTGTGTTTTGTAAGTGAGTGTGTATGTATGTCTGTCACTGAGTGTGTGTCTGTCCGTAAATGTGTGTATGCGTCTGTTCGTGAGAGTGTGTGTCTGTGTCTTCAGCACTTACCTTTCTCCAGCGCCGGACTCCCTTGGCGCTGGGGATCCCTCCGCCCCGATCTGCCTCTCAGCCACGCACGCATTCAAACCGCCCATATGCGGTTTCCTATGGACGTCCAGCGTCTTCTCACTGTGAATTTCACAGTGAGAATCGCGGAAGCTCCTCTAGCGGCTGTCAATGAGACAGCCACTAGAGGCTGGATTAACCCTCAGTGAAACATAGCAGTTTCTCTGAAACTGCTATGTTTTCAGCTACAGGGTTAAAACTAGAGGGACCTGGCACCCAGACCACTTAATTGAGCTGATGTGATCTGGGTGTCTGTAGTGGTCCTTTAAGTGTATGTGTATCTGCATGCACTGGCGTACATACAGGGGTCGCAGCTGCCATGTATTGCGGCCCCAACCTGCACAGAGTAAGCGGGGGGGGGGAGTGAAAAGTACAGTATATTAAAAAAAAACCTCTCCTAAATCCCAGTCCTCCCCCTATACTAAATTCCAGCACCCCCTTCTAGCCAACAAGCAGACTCCACTCACATTGCCGCTGCCAGTATGCAACTCCAGAGTCCGGCCTATTGTATACCCCAAATGGTGCCGTCCGCACCTTGTGCCAAAACTGATCCTCCTGCTACTTCTTGAAACCCTGTGAAGGTGGAGCACGTCGACGTCGGAATGTGAAGTGGCTTTGCGTGCCTCTATGCACCTCCAGGTACTCCACTGTCCAGCTGCGGCCATTGCAACACAGGCCGACACACACTCACTGACACACACAGACAGACACACACACACACACACTCACATCATTCCCTGGTATCCAGAGGGGATCTTCTATGTGGAGATCTCCTTCCTGCTCCTTACTGCTCACTCGCGCGCAGTTTAGTCATTCCGGGTGCCGGAGTATGACGTCATAATCCGGCATCACTACAGACGGCGTGCAAGGGAGCATTGAGGAGCAGGAAGAATTTTAGCAGAGTAGGCACCTGCAATGTGGAGAAAGCAGGTGCCTACTCTGCTTTAACACCAAGCATGTACTCGCGGCTCACCGGGCCGCAAAGATGTCCATTGTGGGCCGCGAGTTTGACATGCTTAGTGTACAAAAAGCACTTTTCCCATGATGCTGTGAGTGTATATGTGCATTGGTGGCTCCCAAATTGTATCACTGGATTACAATAATTTATTTGCTGGGTTTATGACATGATTTGTTTTGAGGGGGGAGTGGAAGACAATTTACACCTAATTTTTAAAACTTTGCAAAATGTAATCAGAACTTCCAATTTAAGTTCTACTGTTGAAAAAAACTTCAAGGAATTACATTAAGAGCATGAAAACTATTTGTAAAGTTGTCTTCTAAACCTAAACAGAAATGAAAGCTATCACTATTCTGTCCAGCAAGGTAGGTCAAATGCCCGAGTGTCCAGCCGAATGTACAGAAGACATGGGCATCTATAACTGCAGAGAGATGATCAAAGGTTTCACACCAGTTATGTAGTATTAGTGATACGATGCTTTGTTCTTCTCTGTTCAGTACCTGTCTTTTGATAAAGTATCCAGGTGTATTTTTAAATAAAATCTGACCTTTAACACAACTCTTTGCTCAAAAACAAAAAATGTTTTACATACTGGAGTTCTTACCGTACAATCCCCCCCCCTCCCAGTTACTCTGCCACCATCCGTGCATGACCAGGGAAGGGTAAAAACACAAACAGTGAGGTCCTCTTCAAGGTGTTTTGTCACTACAACCATACTGTACAGAATGTAGAATCCTGTTCAATAGGCTGATACATAGGGCATTAATGATTGTTGTTGTAATGTGATCTGATCAAATGCCCATTGGAAAGGAAAGAGAGCTCGGACTCTTGGGTTGCTGTAAAGATCAGGCAGCTACTGTACTTTAGGAAATATAGATAATTCTGAAGGTCTCACATATTATTCTGTTGAAAATATTTTCTGATCTTTATATAAATTCTAATAATAGTTAAAGATGGTGCCCCCTGTCAACATTTTGGTTTAAAGAGACACTGTAGACACTATAAATATTTAATGTCATTGAATTTGTTATAGTGCTTGGAGTCCTCTGGGGCTGTTTAACATTGAATTCGGATTCCTGTTGCTTAGGGCCCTACCTCCACTGGAGATGTGGCAGGGTTTATACTTCCTTCTTGCTGTACCAATTCATACCTGCATTGACAGAATTTCGTGCAAACAGAATGTTGAGAATTTGTCCATTTGTGTTGAGATGAAATTTAGTCATTATGTTTGATTCAGAATTTCTTTTGTAAGTGATAAGAAAGGTGGATCTGTTGCACCCCCTGGCCCCCACCCATTGACGGCAGGTGGGGTCCTAAGTGACAAAGTAGCTCAGGCACCATAATAACTTCAGCTGTTGTAATTATGGTTTTTTTTAAGTGTTCCTTTTTAAGCATATATTGGTTTATTTATTTTTAAATCACAAATAAATACATCTTTTATATTTGGTTTATCTTTTTCTGTTTTTTTCCCCCCAGCTGTTGTGGTTGTGTCCTTCGTGTTGTGCTGGTTACCTTTTCACATTGGCCGCATCCTGTTTGCCTTGTTTGGAATAGAACACCTATTTTATGAACTGACACAGTATTTCAATTTAGTCGCTATGATTCTCTTTTACCTGAGCGCATCTATCAATCCCATGCTCTACAACATCATGTCACAGAAATACAGAGCGGCGATGAACAAGATCCTGAAAAGAAGACAATCTCTACAATCCAGGAATATGACAAGAAGCGAGCCACCCTCTATGGAAGGGACAGAGCTCACCTCTATTAATTAACTTATATTAGAGGGACACTCCTGGCACTAAAACTACTTATATATGTTACAGTTAAAGTGAGAAATCAGTTCATGTGCATATTACCTAGTTAATCTGCGTATTAACTGATTTGCTCTGTTAAAGTGCGGAATCGAGTTTTCCGTACTTTACCTAGGTAATGTGCACATTAACTGCTTCCGTATAGTTAAAGTGCAAAATGTTTGTTTCTTTCCCTCAGTAAAAGAGGAATTATTTATTACAAAAATCGTCCTTGCAGAACCTGTTTCACCCTTTCAGTGCAAACTCTGCAGAGTCGTTCACTTCTCGTCTGAAGGCAGAAAGATTTTGTCTCGATTCTGTTTGTGAGCAAGTTCCTTTCAATGCCCTCCACCATCAAATTCTCAAAGCATAGACGCATGGCTTGTTGCTTTTCAGAGGGGGCTGGCTACTAACAATGCTGCTCCGTAAGTCCGAGAAATACTTCTCTCGTTGAGGAGGAAGAGACCAAGGAGAGGTCTTCTCATGGACCACTGATTCCGTCTTCAAATATATGATGATATTGAGAACAGTGGAGAGCATCTGCTGGAATCATTTCAGGGTGTTGCTGCATAATGTGCAGGAAGCGCTAGCTCTCTTGTGGTGGTGGGGGCTCCTCATTTCTTAACTGTAACATATACACTTTATAGATTTTGGTTCAAATTATTTGTTTTTCTACATTTCTACATACAGGTTTGTATTCCTTTTGAAAATTGCTTTTTGGGGGGGGAACAAAAGAAACAAAACTTTGGTTTAATTGTTGGATGGCCAGTAATGCAATATAATTCTGTGATATTAACCCTTTGAGTGCCAGGGATTTGACTAGCATATCTTAATGCAAATTTGGAAGTTTTGGAACTTATACAGCTTAAAGGGACTCTCCAGTGCCAGGAAAACAAACCATTTTCCTGGCATTGCAGGTCCCCTCTCCCTCCAACCCCCCATCCCAAGTTGCTGAAGGGGTTAAAACCCCTTCAGTGACTTACCTGTATCCAGCACCAATGTCCCTCGGCGCTGGGTCAGGGTCCGCCCACGCTCCTCCCCTTTATGAAAACTGCAATAATTACACTGGCGTTTTTTGGTTTTTTTTAATATATAAGTTTTTATTATAGATTTCAATATACATAATTAGACAATCACATAAGCAAACAGCATAAACACCAAAAAAAAAAACACGGATAACAAAACCTAAAAACAAATCTCAAAAAATAACAAACATTATCTAGTGGTGTATAAACCTGATCTCTAGTATATCCATACCTTAATCCATTCTTAAACATAAATGCTATCATATTTTACATTACCTAGTGATCTTATGTGTACCTTTATAAATTACTTAAACCATTGTACCAGGCTTATTTGAAAACATAAATTCCCTTTATATACCTCTAGCTTTCACGGTTAACTATTAAATTACTTTATTTCAATTAAATTAATGTATGTAACAACTTCTTATCCATGGCCTACCTCCTATAAATACAATTCCTGACACTAAACCATTTTAGCCAAATTTTTATATATTTTCCTTCCACTCCTGCCAAACGACTTGCCATTCTCTCATAGCTACTTAAAGAGTCTAAGCGTGACCATGGGTGTAAGAACAGGGGGGGTTGGGAGGGACTCATCCCCCCCCAGCAAATCATGCGGGGGGGCAGGTTATAGAGAAAACCCCCACCGGCCGCAGGTGCCCTCGGGCTGCGTGCGGCTCCATCAGGGAACCGCACACACTGCAGACTGGGAAGGGGAGCACCTCCCCCTCCGCGCAGGAGCGCCGGGTGTCGCATGACTACCCGGCGCTCAGTCTGACACTGCGCCCGCCTGACGTCCAGAGGTCCCCCTGCTATGTCAGGTAAAAGAGGGTGTCACGTGCGTGGGCTATAGGCCCAGCCGAGACAGTGGGGAGAGTGTGGAAGTGACAGGGTTAATAACACCAGACCCCTGGTTACCTGTTCCTAGTCCCAACAACCACTCAATTAACCCCTGCAATCCCTTCTACACTAACCCCCTTAGTACACACTTTACTGCCACCACTAAGACTTTCAAACCCAGGCGTCTTAGGTTACCCCACACACAGGAGAATTATAGTATCACAGTTCTACTTTTACTGATAAACCATATACAGTTAACCCTTTTTGGTAACGTGTTTACCTGAGCTTTCCTCTGGAGAGTGAAGCTCACAGAGAACAGAGACACAAGCTGATTAAGTAAACATTTAATCTGACAAAAAGGATTCACAGTGCTGAGTACAAAATACAGAAATAAATGACATACAGATAACAAATTGCAAAACAGTACATAAAATAAAATAGGAGAAAACACAAGAAATTCCTTACATATATTTACCCCATATAGAATTCTTGTGGGAGTCTTAGATGGTATAGGTCTCCTAGAAGTTACTGACAAAAGAAAAATGAATAACTGACCTCCCTGGATAGTCCAACACCCTCATATATCTAAACTAGTTGTTTCTCAGTGGGCAGACCCCTGGGGGGGATCAGAGGGGGTTGGTCTGGCAGTCTATTGCCCACTCTATGAAATTCCTTGTGTCCAGCTCTGGTGATGGCTATCTAGATGTTTTATGGTGTAGGCCTGGTGCAAGATCAAAGACCACAATAAATGTCATCCCAAGGTTTACAAAAAAACAACTCAACATATATAAACACACATCAAACACCAACTCATGCTTTTGGCATGACACCTCCCCCTTAAGATGGTGGACAGAAAAATTCAGCCACAGGCTGATTTATCTGTCTACCATTAACCTTTGGTTCACAATCAGAAAGTTGCTTAGGTGTATGCGTGAGTTGTGATAAACTGACAAGGTTCCTGGTTCCTCCAACAATATGTTTCCCTGCAGCCATCCTTCCTGGACCCACAGGCTGAGTCTGTCCGTGCCCCTCACTTTAACTCCAGGTCATCACACATACCGAACTTTGGAAACTGGCTAAGCCTGCCGCAGAGTAAAGCTCACACACCCTCTGCCCTCCCTCATAGCCTTCTGTCCCTTCACATTTTCACCCACCACATCACATACATCTGCTTCAGGCACATATTGGCACATATATTCATTCAGCCCCCTCTCGCTGGAAGGCTTTTCCCATACATTTTCACAGGACACATTTGACCCCCCCTTGATCAGATGCAGAATTTTGCACACACTCACATAATTTCTTCTCCAAGGCAGGCCCTCCTCTCACAATCTCACATAGCACCTCAGACTGTCCTGCTGCAGCCCTGACCCACTGTTGACTTGTTACCACTGCGACTAGTGGTACACATCCCTGGCTCTCACCTTCCTCCTCCCCCTTACTCTCTGAAATCCTAGCCTCACAGTATTTTGATACAGGCACATCACTACTCACCCCTATCTCACATTTGGTAGACATCACTGGTTCAGTTACAGGTAGATATTTATCCACACCCTGCTCTCCCTCCCAGCAATCACAGTTCACAATGTCTCCTAAAGTTTCACACAATACCTTAGGTGGAGCAGTCAGCCCTTCTGGCTCACAAACAGTGTCCACTGGAGCATAGTGACAGAGCATCCTGCCCAAATCATTCCCCAACAGAACATTAACAGGGATATCCTCTGAAATCCCCACTTCCCGCAAACCTTTGCCCGCACCCCAATCAAGGTACACACGTGCCAAGGGCACAGCGGGGCATACACCCCTAATTCCTTTGATGGACATGGTTCTTCCAGGGATTATGTCCTCCATATTCACGACTTCAGGGCGCACCAGGGTGAATGAAGCTCCAGAATCTCTCAGTCCCATGGTCACTTGGTCACCCACAATTACACTCTGCAGGTTATCGTCTCGTTTCCCCACGGACCCACCCACAAGCAAAACTGATGGTGCCCCTCCACGGGCTGGTGAGGGTATATTCCTAGTGGGGCAGGTCCTGCTCAGATGACCAATCTGGTTGCATCGAAAATAACGGCGGGCATCTGACTCACTTGACATAGCCCCGGCTACGCTGGCAGTCGGCGGTGAAGTTCTCACTGCAGATCTTACAGGTGGTGATTGAACTGTAGCTTCTCTCCAGGTCGAAGTAGCAGCTGACACCAGTCCACGCCTGGATGTGGGTGCATGGATGTCGGCATAGTCATCTGCCAGTTCTGCAGCAGCCCTAGCATTTTTTGGCTTTCTTTCCAAAATCCACTTTCGTACATTAGGGCTCCGGGTCTGCAAGAACTGCTCCAGGACCATTAAGTCATTAAGGGCTTCATAGGTAGTAGCTTGTACTCCCATTACCCATTGCTGGAATGTGGTTTCTAATTGTGCAACATATAGAATGCAGCTGGATGATGGGCATTGCTGCATACTCCTAAACTTTTTCCTGTAAGACTCAGGAGTAGGGTTAAAAGTTTTTTGCAATGCAGATTTGATTGCCTCATAGTTGTTATCAGTCTCTGGGGGCAGGGACACAAACACATCCAAGGCTTTCCCTTTCAATTGTGGAGTTAAATATCTGCCCCACTGGTCTGAGGGTAGTTGATGCTGCCTGCATACTTTCTCAAAACTTTTTAAAAATACATCCAAATCTGTCCCTTCTTCGAGGGAAGGAAAATCATCCTTACGGAGCCTACGTGTGCTGGACTCTGATGCATTGCTGTTCAGTGAGGATTGAAGGGTAAATTGAAGTTTAGCAAGTTCCAGCTCATGTCTCCTTTGTGCCTCCCTTTCGGCTAGCCTCTCTGCAGATTCCCTTTCTGCAGCATGCCTTTGCGCTTCCCTTTCGGCTAGCCTCTCTGCAGATTCCCTTTCTGCAGCCTGCTGTTGGATCATCACATGCAGGGCCTCCTGAGGATTTGCAGCCATCAGTTGCCGAAATAAATCAGTTGAGCAAATGTCCTTAATGTTTTGAGGAGTACAACCACCAGGCATTTCAGTAAACAACACTCCTGCAGTAGTAGGGAGCTCGGTAACCCTTTCAGTATCCGTCTCTGTCTGGAAAATATGGCTGTCAGCCTCCACAAGGTCAGCAATAAGTTGTGCCTTATTTTTGCCAAAAGTTGGTAAATTCTTTTCTTGGCACAACAATTCCAAGGCCTCTTTTGATTGTTTGCGATAGGCCTCCATATTCACAGATAGGATAGAGAAAGAAAAACAAAAGATGGGAGGGGAGAACTGTTTTGCACTTTGTATGTATTTTAAATCAGCACTGAGCTTGGTCTTTGGAAATTACACAAAAACAAGTATGCAATTTCTTTTAGTGCTAAGACCCCCTTTACAGGTAAAATCTAGCAAGCACTAAAAATCTCTAAATATATCCCACCAGCTGCTGCCAGTTTGTCACGAGCCTGGGCTATAGGCCCAGCCGAGACAGTGGGGAGAGTGTGGAAGCGACAGGGTTAATGACACCAGACCCCTGGTTACTTGTTGCTAGTCCCAGCAACCACTCAATTAACCCCTGCAATCCCTTCTACACTAACCCCCTTAGTACACACTTTACTGCCACCACCAAGACTTTCAAACCCAGGCGTCTTAGGTTACCCCACACACAGGAGAATTATAGTATCACAGTTCTACTTTTACTGATAAAACATATATAGTTAACCCTTTTTGGTAACGTGTTTACCTGAGCTTTCCTCTGGAGAGTGAAGCTCATAGAGAACAGAGACACAAGCTGATTAAGTAAACATTTAATCTGACAAAAAGGATTCACAGTGCTGAGTACAAAATACAGAAATAAATGACATACAGATAACAAATTGCAAAACAGTACATAAAATAAAATAGGAGAAAACACAAGAAATTCCTTACATATATTTACCGCATATAGAATTCTTGTGGGAGTCTTAGATGGTATAGGTCTCCTAGAAGTTACTGACAAAAAAAAATGAATAACTGACCTCCCTGGATAGTCCAACACCCTCATATATCTAAACTAGTTGTTTCTCAGTGGGCAGACCCCTGGGGGGAGATCAGAGGGGGTTGGTCTGGCAGTCTATTGCCCATTCTATGAAATTCCTTGTGTCCAGCTCTGGTGATGGCTATCTAGATGTTTTATGGTCTAGGCCTGGTGCAAGATCAAAGACCACAATAAATGGCATCCCAAGGTTTACAAAAAAACAACTCAACATATATAAACACACATCAAACACCAACTCATGCTTTTGGCATGACAGAGGGGACAAAGGTAGAAAAATAATTGGATGGGTTTAGGGAGTTTAGAGGGGCCTACTAATATGGATGGGGGGAGGGGTAGGGAGAAAAATAATTGGATGGGTTTAGGGGGGCTACTAATATGGATGGGGGAGGGGTAGGTAGAAAAATAATTGGAAGGGAGAGAAGGGTAGGTAGAAAAATAATTGGAAAGTGTTAGGGGGCTACTAATAAGGATAGGGGGAGAGGGGTAGGTAAAAAAAATAATTGGAAGGGTTTAGCGGGGCTATTAAAATGGATGGGAGGAGGGGGGAGGTAGAAAAATAATTGGAAGGGATTAGGAGAGTACTAATATGAATGGAAGGGGTCGGGTGGGTTCTAATATGCATGGAAGGGGTTAGGATGGTACTAATATGCATGGAAGGGGTAGGGGGTTAATATGCATGGAAGGGGTAGGTGGGGTTCTTATGTGCATGGAAGGGGTAGGGGTGGTTCTTATATTCATGGGAGCGGTAGGGGTGGTTCTAATATTCATGGAAGGGGTAGGTGGGGTACAATCTGTATATGTATAAAAAAAATATAAAAAGTAATCTGCAAAGTACAAAATGTTTGTGTCATATGTCGTGCTAAAAATTAAGGTAGGAATGTGCATATTTTGTAAAAAAAATTTTTAGAATAATGATACAGACATTTTATTTCTTACATTTGTGATGATTCTTTTTTCCTCTCTATATTCAAGAGACACTATAATCACCAGAACCACAACAGCTAAACGTAGTAGTTCTGGTGTCTATAGCATGTCTTTGCAGGCTTTTTAATGTAAGCACTGCCATTTCGTAAAAAGGCAGTATTTACATTACTGCTGAGGAATACCTCTAGTGGACACTCAGATGGCTACTAGAGGTGCTTCCTAGTCGAGACATGAATGCTGCCCTATGAAGTATCTGCGCATGTGCGGCAAAGCTGCGCATGCGCACCAGAGAGCAATGACGCTTCTGAATAGAGGCATTTTATTGCTCCCTGCTCGCACCCTCCTATTTTGTCATTTTGACGAAATAGGGGGCGCGGCATCAGGATGATCCCGGCACTGTATCCGTAAAGTAAAACCCCTTCCCTGTAGTGACCCTTTCATGTTATTATTTTATCATTTATATAGCGCCAGCAAATTCCGTACAATGGGATAAACAACTCCTATTTTACGGAATAAGAATATACCCGGCGAGTAAAAATGCTATCCCCCCCAGAGTTTTGGGGGTTCCTACGCCCATGAGCGTGACATAACCTCTTTGAGCAAAGGTGGCTGAGTTTGTTTCCACCTATAAGCTATAGCTATTTTAGTTGCTAATAAACAGTGTATCATTATTGTTAATACTTCCATCTGAGGTGTTATCTGGAACATGTAAAAAAGATAGCTTTCTGGTTGCCACTTAATATCTACACTTAACCCTATTTTAAAAAAAAGATTCCACTTCCTGCCACTTCCTGTGGTATAATCAGTGGGCACACCCAAAAAATATGCAGCAAGTTGCCTAAATTCTCATGGCATCTCCAAGAGGCTGTAGATGTTTCTGGGTATAATTGAGCTAATCTGGAGGGTACCATATACCATCTCATATTTCATTTGCTAAATGCCTCCCAATGTGATAAGCTTCTGGAAGCTTGTTTCGTGATTTCTAAAGCCTTGTACCAACTTTCCTGCGGTACTTGATTATCTAAGTCCCTTTCCCATTTTTGCATGTAACTTATAGTATCCACATCTATAAATACTAAAATGTTATAGCAAAATGAAAGAGCTTTTTTGTTTGGAATTTTCCCTGCACATTTACATAAGAAAGGGGAGCTGTTTATCTTTTGATGTGCATCTTATTTTATTCAAAATATGTTTTATTCATAAGTATGTGAATAATTCATGTGACGGCAGAACATATTGTATTCTACTTAAGTTAAATAAATCACCTATCTGTCTTACCCCTCGCTCCATCCAAGTATCTAAGAATAAATCAGGGCTAAAGGATGTCATCATTTTGAAAGGAGCTTCCAATGCCAAGGCTTTAGATATTTTTAGCTTTGAAATAGCTCGTCCCCAATTTTTTGTTAGTGCTTTCGTGGAAGGCAGCATATTGCATAGTTTTTCTTGTTTCACTGGACCAAGCCAAAGAAACTGTTCCACCGTACCATCCTGAATACAAGCATTCTCTAACTCCAACCAAATTGAGGGTACCCCCTGCTCAAAAATGGACAAACTCTGTGCAAGAAAAACTGCTTTATAGTAAAAGGAAATATTCGGTATATTTAAACCACCTTTCATGTATGGTTTCCAAAGCCAATTCTGTGCAATACGCGGTGGTTTCCTTTTCCAAATATGTGCATTAATAGTAGTTTGGAACCTTTTTTGAAGAGCATTTGTTAACACTATTGGTAAAGTTCTAAATAGATATAAAATAAGGGGGAGTATCATCATTTTTATTGTGTTAATACGACTAAGCCAGGGTATTTCTCTTCCCTCCCATACTCTTAAGTTGTTTATTCAGTTTATATATCAATGGAATATGATTATCTTTTATTAACTGGGCTGGTCTGCTAGATAATTTAACACCTAAGTAATTTATTGATGAAAAGTGCCAGTCAAATGGATATAATTCTTGCAGTTCTTTTACTAACTGTTTTGGGAGATGTATTGGCATAGTTTGAGATTTTTTTTGGATTATTCTTATCGTAAGACACTTGTCCATAACTTCTCAATAATTTCATAAGATTTGAAAGTGATATAAACGGATCTGTTAAAAATAATAAAACATCATCCGCAAACAGCACTAATTTCAATTCTCCTGCAGGTGTGCATATACCCCGAATATTATTTTGTTTTTTAATAAGTCTTATTAATGGTTCTAAACTTAATATAAATAACCCATTCCCTATGCAGCAGTAACAGTCTATACAGACCTATCACCTCTCACTATGGCAAGACGCCGGGAATTCTCTTAGTTTACCCATGTATTACTTGATAAAATATATAGCTTATCGATGGGGGTTCCCGACAAAAATCATAGTATGGAGGAATGGGAAGTTGACAGTATTGGAAGATCCAGCAAAGGGCGAGACTATCTTAAAAGAATGGGGTTTTGATTATGAAGGGGAGAAAACATCGAGACAAGTTGCCGTATCTCAAAGTTTACGACCAGAATGCAAGATGGCAGGAAGATCCTCAACAAAACCTTGAGGACAAAATAATATTTCTACATTTTTCCACCAAACACATCCGTTTAATCACAAATTATCGGGCAGTGGGATACCAATATTATGTGAAGCTGGGGAAACAATGCAAGGTTATAGTTTTGTTTAGCAATGCTAGTTTTGCATGCATATATAAAAGAATAGAAATGTAAGCACTTTAAGGCAGCGGTACGTCTTAAAACGGCTTTTGAGTTGGTTTAACATACATTTTCTATGGATTGTTTAACAAATACTCTTATGGACTGTTTATTTGTATGATCCAATGAGTGGGAATTGGGGCAGTTTTGGTTCCGGCTGTTTTAAGGGGATAATAGGTATATCTTTGTTTTTGGATTAAAAGTGGTTTGGTAGTATATAATCATGACTTTAAAGTATTTGATGTAATCTCTGCCCTCTATATGTGTGCCCGTTTGGTAGAGGGGAGAAAGGGAAGGGAAAGAAGGAAAGGAAAAGGAAAGAAAAGGGGAAAGTGTGAGAAGTGAGGGGAGGGAGAAAGGGAAGGGAAAGAGGAAAG